TTTTTTGTCAAAGAAGAACATACCTTGAAGACATGTTTCTGACTTAAAATACCACAATTTATTCAATTTGTTTATACCTTTTTGTTAAAACTTGTAATATTTGAAAAACATGTAGAAGACTTTTTTAAAAAATTGTATTAACTGGCTTTATTTAAAAGTGCAAATAAAATTGAAAGCACTAAGTCATGCTGATTCAAAACAATATTTCATGGGTGTGTAGCAATTAAAAAATTTTAAGGGGCTGGGGTTGTGGCTCAGTGGTAGAGCACTAGCCTAGCATGTGCAAGGCCTTGGGTTCGATCTTCGGCACCACATAAAAATAAATAAATAAAATAAAAGTATTGTGTCCAACTACAACTAAAAAATAAATATTTAAAAAAATTTATAAATACTTAAGTAGATATTTTCTGATTGTTACAACTACCTTGCAAAGCTAGATGGTGCATTTTTCTTTTTTATACTGATTAAGAAAACTGAGGTTCACAATATTAAGGTACTTGTCTGTGATCTTATGGTCAATAAGCAAACAGAAGTACTTGATTTTAGATTTCAGTGTTAATTTAGTGTGCTTTCTGATTTAGTCTATATCCTTTCTACTGTAACCAGTAGACTTCCTTGCACATCAAAGCTCTGTAAATATTGTTTCCTAATTGATTTTTAAGTAATAGATTATTAATAATTTTCATCTCAGAAAACTTGAAAATCTATCATCATTGAAAACAGTGCTAGTTGGATGTGTGTAAGATTAGGGTTCATTTCTTCATGCTTTATTTACATCTGAATGCTCATCTCTGTTAGTTAAAACTATTTCTAAAGCAACTCTTTTCTAGCTGAATTTTTAATTTTTACGTTTATCATTAATAGTTCTTTCCTTCCAATGTTTCTGAAGGCAGTGATCATCCCTAAATATCAATACTCTCTCTCTATCTATGAGCTCTTTAAAAAGCAGAGTGGTTTGAATATAAGGCAGTAGCTATTTAAGGACAGAATGGGGTCACTCAGGTGAAATGGGGAATTTGAGGCACTGTTACTCCCATGAATACTCCCACTCCTAAATCATCTCATTTACACCAAGGCTTAAACTCCCTAAGGGACAAGTCATATTAAAACAAAATCTAATAAATGAGAAAGAATAACTTCTGTCTGTTGCATGCTGTTATTCATTATCCTCTCAATTAGGTAATCTTATTCAACTAATTACGGTTTTTTAAGGCTAACCTACTAATTTGAATATTTATAATGATAAAATATTGCTTACAAAGATTTTCCTGAATTTTCTTTCTTTCCATTTTTGTAAATGGCTTTACTAGTATATTATTGATATTTATAAATAATACATAAAGATTACATTTAATAAGTTTTGATAGATGAAATCACTCATAAAACCATCACTTTAATAAAGAAAATGAATATATTTCTTTTTGCCTCTTTGTAATCCCACCCTCTTACTCCTATCCTTCCCCTTTCAACTACCACCACCACTAGGGAATGGCTGTTGTGATACCTGTCACTGTTACATTATGTTTTTTAGAATTTTCTATAAATGCAGTTATGTACTTTTGCATGATGGGATTATTCTGAAATTCCTTAATGTATATATCAATATTTTATTGCTGAGTATCTTTCCATTTTATGGATTTACAGCACAAGTTCTTTTTTATCTCTTTCCTTTTTTACAGATATTTGAATTGTTTACTGTTTTGGGCTATTACAAATAAAGCTGCTATACATCTCTGAATTGATATGTACTTTCAGTTTTCTTGACAGGAATATTTGAGAGTGGAATGGTACATTCATGTGTCAGGTGTATGTTTAGCAATTTAAGAAATTGCCAAAGTGTTTTCAAAAGTTGGATCAATTTTACTTTCCCAACTGCAGCGCTTTAGAATTCCAATTTCTCCATATCATTGGCAATACTTGGCATGGTTAATCTTTTTTACTTTTAGTCATTCTAATGTGTGGATAGTGATATTTCATTGTGAGTTTAGCTTATATTTCTTAAATAACTAACGACTTTGAGCATTTTTTCATGTACTTGTCATTCCTATAATTTCTATGGTAAAGTGACTAATTGAGATCTTTGCCTGTTTCTTAACTGGGTTGTTTGCTTTATTGTTGTTGAGTTTTGAATATTATTCATATCTTATGGATACAGACCTTTAATTAGATAAATGATTAGCAAATACATTTTCTTTATCTATGGCTTTTCTTAGTTCCATTCATAGTGCCTTTCAAAGAACAGGTTTGAATTTTGATACAGCCTCTTTATTAATTCAATCCTTTAGGATTATGTTTTTGGTATTATATATGAGAAATTTTTAACTAATTCAATGCCAAAAATTTTTTTCGATATTTTTATCTAGAAGTTTCATAGCTTTAGATTTTTCATTTAGGTTCATGATTAATTTGAAATTAATGTATCTGATGTGAGGTATTGATCGAAGTTATTTCTCTTCCTCCTCCACCTTTTTTGAATATAGATATCCCTTTATCTTGGGACAATTTATTACAAAGATTATCCACTCTCCATAGAGGTACTTTTTCTAACTTTGTAAAAAAATCTATTGTCCATATATATATTTGTCTGTTTCTGGATTCTATTCTGTTTCATTCATCTCTTTTCCATTTTTACACAAATACCCCATGGGCCTTATTATTATAGTTTTATGATATGTCTTAAATAAGGTGGTATTATTCCTCAAATATATTATTCCATTTCAAAGTTGTTTTGGCTATTCTAGATCCTTTGTATTTCCATATGCATTGCAAAATCATATTGTCAATTTATATAAAAAGTCTGCTGGGATTTGGATTTGCATTGCATTGAATCTATAGATGAATTTCAGTAATGTTGACATTTTAGCATTATTAGGTCTTCAATCTGTGAGCACAGTATCTCTCATTTTAGTTGTAATAATTTCTATTGAAATATTTTGTAGTTTTCAGTGCATAGATCCTAAGCATCTTTTAGCAAATATATTCCCTAAGTATTTCTATTTTTGATGTATTGCAAATGGTATTTTAAAACAATTTCAATTCCATTAGTTTTCAAATATGAATTCAGTAGCATAAAATTGCTCAAAATATTCCTTTATTATTAATACCCGTGGTCTATGTAGTGATGCTATCTCTCTCATTTTTCATAGTGTTAGTTTGTGTCTTCTAGTGTTTTTCCTCTTCAGTCTGGCTAAAGGTTTATCAGTTTTACTGATCTTCTTAATCAGCTTTTAGGTTTCTCGATCTTTGTTTATTTTTTGTTTGTTTGTTTTCTGTTTCATTATATTCTATCTCAAGATTAAGTAAGGTAGAAACTAAAGTAATCGTTTCATTGAGACCTTCATTTTTTAAAATTTAAGCATTGAATCCACATTTTTGCATATCGTTTATAGGTGTATTGTAGTTATACATAATAGTTCCCATTTTTAGTGTTAAAAATTTCCCTGGAATTATTATTCTAAGCAACACACCGTAGTTTTTTTTTAATATCTTGTGTGTTCCATTTTTAATTATTTAAATGAAAATTTCTTCTTTGATCTATGGGTTATTTTGTAGTTTGTTTTCAAATATTTAAGGCCTTTCCAAATATTTTTGTTATTGAATTCTGTTATTAATTCTATTTTAATGTGACTTTTGAATGTTTTAAAAATTTATTGGGACTTGTTTTATGTTCTAGAATGTGGTCTGCCTTGGTAAATATTAGGTATGCTCTTGAAAAGTATGTGTACCTGTTCTTGAAATGTCTGCTGCGTCAAGTTGATTGATAGTGTTGCTCAAGTTTTTGTCTTTAATGACTTCTGTCTACTTGAGAGAAGGGTTGAAATTCTGTCAATAATTGTCTATTAGTCTTTTTTTTCCCTGTGGTTCTACTAACCTTTTGCTTCATGTGTGTTTTGGATTGTTAGCTCCTTTTGGTAATTGACCCCTATGTCCTTATGAAATGACCTTCTTGACTATGCTGATATTCATTGCTTTAGCTGCTTTATCTTACATTGATGAGGGCATTCCAACTTGCTTTTGACTAATCTTATAATAGTATAGCTTTTTCACCTGTTTCCTGTTGCTTATTTGTGTTTTGTAATTCAATTTGATTTCTTGTTGGCCTCACTCTTTCATCCAGTTTGATAATCATTACCTTTAAGTGGGATATTCATTTCTGAGTTCTATTCCATTTATATTTAGTGTGATTATGGAGATGTTAGACTTAAGTCTTTTCATATATCAGTTATTCTTTGTTCCTTTCCCCCTTTTTACTCCATCTTTTGGATTGATATTATTTTATGATTCTACTTTATCTCCTTTGTTTCTTCTTAGCTTTAGCTTCTTGATTTGTTATCTTAGGATTTATAATATATGTCTTAGCTTATTGTAGTCTAAGTGATATATTACTAGATATAGCATGCCACTTTATACATAGTATAAAAACATCACAATTTATACTTATATTTCTCCTCTTCCTTACTTGGTATTAATTTCATATACTTCACTTCTGCCTGTGTATAAACCCCACACTACATGGCTGCTATTTTTACTTTGAACATCTAATAAATAATCATTCTTTTAGTGAAATTTTATTTCTTCATGTGAAATCAGATTTCCATCTCTATCATTTTCTTTTTGCCAGAGGACTGACTTTAATGCTTTTTCCCTCATGCATATCTGGTGATTATGGATTCTTTAAGCTTTGGGATATCTAAAGGAAGCCTTTCACTTAATATTTATTTTGAAAAATATTTTTGCTGGGTTTAGGATTTTAGGATTGCAGCATTTCTTTCCTTTTGGTACTTCACTGTTGCTGCACTATCTTCTTATTTATGTTACTTCTGACAATCAGCTGTAATCCTTATCTTTGTTTTTCTGATATAATGTATTTTTTTTTAATTTAGAAACTCTGAACTTGGCATCAGTAATAGCTTACCTCAATGGATTTGATGTCCTCCTTTTAAAAACTATCCAGTTCTTTCACATCCATGTTAATTTTTAGCCCTTATATTTTACTGTAGGCCTGAAGTGATAGAAGATTTGCCACTGGCCACCCAGAGAGGCAGTTTTCAGATTGTCCAGTGCAACTGCAGTGCTCAAGAATGTTGTGAATGTCATGTGCCTATACCAACAGCCAAACTCAACTACACTCTTCTTATGTATTTGAAAATCGCATCTGGTGGAGTAACTTTTCAGTCACCCCTAATGTCAGTTCAGCCCATAAATGTTGGTAAGTCCTGCATTAAAATGATAACAAACCTCAACATCAATTATACAGTAAGGTTACAGATTGCTTAAAAGATTTTTCACTGGGGCTGGAGTTGTGGCTCAGCGGTAGAGTGCTTGCCTAGTGCCTGTGAGGTGCTGGGTTTAAGCCTCAGCACCACATAAAAATAAATAAATAGAATAAGGGTATTGTGTCCAACTACAACTAAAAAATAAAAATTTAAAAAAGATTTTTCACTGGCTTATATCTTTTTGACCAACACTGTAAGTTATGGTAAATGTAATAGTAGGATATATTATGATCATCTTCTAGACTGAGATAATAGTATTTTCATTTAAATTCTTTTAAAAAAGCACTTTGATTCCTTTAAATCCTAGATCTAATGGATATGTATTATTTGATTATCACTTTTTCATATCTCAGATAACTAATTCTGAAAATTATTACAAGTATATTTCTGCCTGAGTTTACTTCTTCAATGAATATTTCTTAGAAATCATGTTTGTCATGGACTGTTCAAGGGGCTGGAAAAACAGTTGAGAACAAGAGAAAATTCCTGTCTCATAGAACAGGGGCACATGGTGATTCCTGTCTAATAGAACAGGTAACAAATGATAAAAAGGTGAACAAGTGAGCAATTTATCACACAAAGCTTATTATAAGAAAACCTCAAATAATAGATGGTGCCCTTTTTACTTAGTGCAAAGATCCCCAAACCTCTTTTGGTCAATTTAAATATACAATTACAAACATGAATAGTAGAAACAAATGGTAGCTAAAAGTATTTGTTAACTCAGTTTTGCATATACAAGTTCAGCTATCTTATATATTATATATATTTCAGCAGTGTTGCTAGTTTCTTTTTTTCTTTTTTTTTAAAGAGAGAGAGAGAGAGAGAGAGAGAGAGAATTTTTTAATATTTATTTTTTAGTTTTCGGCAGACACAACATCTTTGTTTGTATGTGGTGCTGAGGATCAAACCCGGGCCGCACGCATGCCAGGCGAGCGCGCTGCTACCGCTTGAGCCACATCCCCAGCCCGCTAGTTTCCATTTATATTTCCTGAAATAATTATATGCAACTGTACATCCATCTTTTCACCATTGAGTTTTACATAACTGGTGTCACTTTTCTGATTATTTGTCACAATTTTACTTCTTTTTTAAGTCTCTTAAGATATACCACTTTTTGAGTCTGTGCATATTTTTTTTAACATTAGGATTTTCAAATAATTTGTTCTCTAAGGATATATTTGTGATCTTTCCAATATATTTATAGTGATATCCAAGCAATTCAATTGTGAAGTTACACCAGAGAAAAAAAATTTAAAAAAACATTGTTAATATTATCTTCTTTTATCTTTAAAAACTAATTTCCACATGGTGATTTTTACAAATATTTAAGCTAGTATTGCTTTTAGTTAATTTTAATTTTTTAAAGTACTAAACTGCTACGATAAATTAACAAGAACTTGAAAACTTTCTTAATTTTGTCTTTATGTGGAGATAATTTAGGAAAAAAATATTTTCTTATATTGGGCATATATAATAATATCTGAAAATTGTAAATACTTTGAAAGAAATAAAACAAGTGGTATAATGGAGTGTCGGGGGTAGATGCAATTATTTCTGCTATGGAGATCAAAGAAAACTTCCTTTAGAGCATAGTACTTAAACTGATAAAGAAAACACAACTGTATAAAAATTCAGGAAAGAAGGTACTCCAAGCAGGAATAACACATCTACAGAGTCCCTGAGATGGAATGAATTTGGCAATTTGAAGAACAAAAGAGAAGGTTTTTGTCTTAGAGTGAATGAGATTCAGAAATATTAGGTGGAGTTCAGAGTTGTCTCGGTTGAGAGCATATCAGAGGCCAGGGTTATAGAGTTTGGATTTTTTTCCAATCACAGGGGAAGCTTTTGAATTAGAGAACTGATATGATCAGATGTACGTTTGTGTGTTTGAAATTTACTCTACATTGTATAGAATGAAACTGATAAGGAAGGAAATGAAGGATAGTTGGAAGAATGGAAGGAGGAGCCCAGAGAAGGCCAATTTGTTTAGGGTTGTAACAGTGGAGAAGTAAAGAACTGATGAGATATGGATTTATTTGGAAAATGCTGCTGACTGGACTCTCTAGTGGATTGAGTTACAGGGTGTGAAAGATAGAGTGGAATGAAGGATAAACCTTAGACTTGGACCTGAGCATCCAAGGAAAAGTATTACCAGATACCAAGGGGAAACTGAGGCTTAGATGTATGTGCAGAAATCCAGAGCTTTATTTGGGACACATTGTGCTTGAGATCCCTGTTAGAAACCCAAGAGATGTTGAGTAGGCCATTGGGTATGTGATTTTAAAGTTCTAGGGAGATACATACTTGGGAGTTGTTAGCTGTTAGGGTCTGTAAACAAGTCAGGATGGCGCCTGGCATTTTGCCCGAGGGAGTGGTTTGTGAAGTAACGCCAGCGAGCCATTAAGTGTGGAGATTCCTTATTGGTTGACTGCTGTATCTAGTTTATGTTAATTAAGATAACCTGTGTGTAATATATATATATATATATATATATATATATATATATATATATATATATATATATATATATATATCCCTCCGGTCCTACAATAAACGGCTCCCACTCCAGCTGTATCAATCTACACAAGTTCCTCGTCACCCCCTGGCTATTTTGCCCAGCCAGCTGGGCTGCGGCAGTTAGCATATAGGATTGTATGATATCACTCATTTAGAGTTCAGGAAGAGAAGGACTTAGGGGTGATCTGTAAGAATGAAGGAATAAAAGAGTGTGTTGTCCTGGAAAAATGTATTTCAAGCAGAAGGGAGTAAGCAGCAGTGTGGAACATGGCTGAGAGGCAGAGGAAGGCAAATTGGTAATTTTCATTGGATTTGGTAAAGAGCAGATTCAGTAAGTTGATGAGCAGGGTATGACTGGAGTAGGTAGGTAGAGGATGGCATGCAAAATAGAGAGTGAGCCATGCCAATTCTGAGGAACGTTGTTCAGGAAGAAGCAGTTAGGTGTGAGTAAATCTGAAACTAGGCATATAGGGGATTCAGGGAAAATTTATTTTTGTACTTCTATTACTGATGCACGTTAGTATATTGATAAGAAATGTATAGTAGTTATAATTTTATGATTTAACTTTGCTTTGTTTTAGGTCATGGAAACACAGTAAAATTCATCTATTGCTTACCAGACATTATGTTTTGTTTATCCCTGCTTTAAAGTAGCTTCAATTTATAATATGACCCATTAAATAAAATCTTATCAATTTGACTGAAGAAGAAAACTACGTCTAAATTCCTGAAAATGTGGAATGTGAAAATATCTCTTATGCCACTTTAATTATGAGAATGAAATTCCAACCAGTTAATGTTTCAGTGGCATGATGATTTCTATGTTATGAGTAATTCCTATTAATTGCAAAATCTTGCAAATATAGGTGTGCAAAGAAGAAAATTCATATTTATTTTCTACCATTTTGATCATCTTCTGGTTTTTAATATATATTTGTATATATACTTTTTATTTATTAACTTCAACAAATCAAGAATCCAAGTATAAGACAGACTTTTAAAACTTAGTAACAATAAACATTTTCAATATTCTGCAAGAAGATTGGCTGTATAGATTTATGGTTGAACAATAATTTATTTGAGCAATTCTTTATTGAAATACATTTAATTTCTACAAATATTATAAAGGCTTTATTGTTTAAAACAACATACACACATATATAGACACACACACACACACACACACACACTCTTAAATCAATACGTACATATCCATAAACATGCTCACATACATTTTAATTCACAAATACCTTATAAAACTCTATTAAGCTTAGAAACTTCATCTCTATTTCTGGTGACAACCAGGGTGGATGGTAAATTTATTGTGTGGTAATATTCATACTGTGGGTTATTTTAACAGGTGTGTTTGTATTGTGATTTTGAATGAATAGATATGCCGAATTTTGTATAATTTATCCATTTTTCAAATAGCATCTGTAAAGCGCTTTTCCCCCTTGATATTCACTAAAACAAGCAAGGTGGGGATTGGGAAAAGACTTCAAATAAGTTTAAGAAATACTGAGTTAAATAAAGTTTAGCAGGCTTTTTATACAGTAAATCACATTTATCAAAATAATCTCATTTACCAATTTATAGTCTTTACCACTTAGGGGGAAGGAAATGAAGATATGTGGATTGCTATGATAAGGTACAAAGAATAAGCCCAATATCATAACTTTGTTTTGGTTTGTAATTAGCCCTGAGTGAAGTTACCTTTTAAGTAGTTAAAAGGCAGGATATGCTTAAAATTCATGTTGACTTCATTTTATTCAGATAGTGGTTATCATGAAAATTGCTTGACTTAAAGTATTCTCTTTTTTTTTAAGTGAAGCCTGATCCACCATTAGATGTGCATATGGAAATCACAGATGATGGAGATTTAGAGGTTTCTTGGCACAGCCCAACATTGGTACCGTTTCCACTTCAATATCAAGTGAAATATTCAGAAAATTCTACGACAGTTACAAGGGAAGTAAGTATATTTCAGTAAATAATATGAAAACTTGAGTTGCTAAAGACTAAAGACTGCCCCAAATCCCATAAAAATTATCCTCTGTGTGTTAATATACGTGCTCCTTTTTAGAGCAAAATGAATTATTATTGAATGAATTATAATTTCGTTATAATTAATAAATACACATACACACATGCACGAGGCCACAGGAACTCCATTTGTAGAGACTTTAATTCATAATTATAACTGTTTTTCAACTACAGACTATTTTTTTACAACTCATTGTTTTAGTATTGCTTAATATATTCATTTACACATTAATATATTGATTTTACTGTGAAGTGTGTCAAAACCTTCTTTATTCATTAAATATTTATTGAGTACCTATTTGGTGCTAGGAGCTGTTCTATGTGCTTCGGGAAATGTTGAGATACTAGAACAAGATAAGAAGAATTTGGGGTACCGGTGGGAAACAAAGGTTGTAATAGTAAATGTAGGTTGGTAGGCCACATTGAGAAGGTGACATTTGCAGTGTATTTGAAGGAGATGGCCAGGTGTCTGACAGAATTAGGTTCCAAGCAGAGAGAGCAGCAATGCAGAGGAGGCCACTGTGGCTGGAGAAGTTAGCCCCAGTAGTGGTGGACAGTATCAGTAGGTTAAAGAAGGAAGAGCTTCTTGGGACATGTGACTGGTTTTGCTATTACTTCATGAAACTAAGTGTCATATAATTCAGAAGTAAACACCAGTCTTTCTAGATCTGGGCTAATTTTTTTAAGGTTTTATTTTCACAAAAAGAAGGTTGGTAATACTGTGTCATATATGGGAAAAAGTAGAGTTAAGGTGTCTGTGGTTTTCTGCTCTCTCATCTATAGAGATAATAGGATTTTAACTATGGGCAATTTGATATTGTTTCATGCATTGCTGATGCTTTTCATCATTTTTAGTCTATGACTTCCACGGTCTTAAGAGGCCAGAGAGTTTAATAACTTTGGAGAACATTATTGGAAAACTGAATTTATTCACCAGATCATTTTTAGCCAGAGGTTGTTTAGTGCAGGGATTGTCTCAGATGTTTTACTCTGGTTTATAAACTATATTTTGACTCATGAACTGTAGATTATTCTCAGACTCAGGTCCTTAAAAATTACTCATGCTCTCCTTCCACGCAGATGTCCTCTAGGAACCCTCGTAGCTCTCTCTCCTCGCCTGCACATCATTTTCTATCAGATGTGTTATAGACGGCTGCAGTGGCTTGATTTTAGCTTCATTTCTCAAAATTCTAAAAGTCACATTCATTATATTTTTTTAACACATGGGCTATCTAAAATTATATTAAATAATGTACTAACATTTGTTATTTGGTCACTGATTGCTCTTTTAATCACATTGTTATCAATTAACTACTCTGCAAGACTTTAATTCTTTGAAATTTGTTGAGATCACTTTTGGTAAAGGTTTCATATTAATTTGATGCTCTGATGTTTTAAAATAATACTTAACAGGCTGATGAGATTGTCTCAACTACATCCTTTCTAATATATGGTGTGCTTCCTGGGTCCTTGTATGAGGTTCAGGTGAGGGGCAAGAGACTGGATGGCCCTGGAATCTGGGGTGACTGGAGTACCCCTCACATCTTTATCACACAAGGTAGGTTTTGTGATAGCTTCTGTTGAGAGGGAAGTATACTTCTCAATTTGCCTATGGTACATTGTCAGCAGGTTATGTTTTATGACTCTAAAACAAAAGCGGGGGCACAATATTTTCTTTAAATTTAGAATAGGCTAATTTGTTAATTAAAATCGTGTCAGAGTTCCTGTGTTTATATGCTTCCATAGCAGCATCTTGTTGAATTGCTTTTTTTTTTTTTTTTTTAAAGAGAGAGAGAGAATTTTAATATTTATTTTTTTAGTTATTGGTGGACATGACATCTTTGGTTGTATGTGGTGCTGAGGATTGAACCCATGCCGCATGCATGCCAGGCGAGCGCGCTACCGCTTGAGCCACATCCCCAGCCCTTGAATTGCTTTTTATTAGAAGTTAATATAAAATCCCAAATTAACAAATTCAGAACATCATTCCATTAGTAATTCTTTAATTTATGTTTGAAAACCAAGTATATATTTATTTGATATAAATTTGAAATATTAAAATTTTAATATTATATTCCATGTAACAGATGAATTCTTGTCACTCCAAATGCTTGATTTTACAGTTTTCAATATATATTTTTTTATTGTTTCAAGGATTTACTTATTTATTTATTTCATAGTGCTGGGGATTGAACCCTGAATCTTGTGCATGGTTGGCAAGTACTCTACCACAGTTACATTCCCAGTCCCTGAATTTATTTTTATCATGAGAAAAACTGCACTTTATTATAACTTCTTCATGAAGATGATGGATGTAGATACATAGGAGTTGTGGCATAGTCCTAGCCCTGTCACATGCTAAGTTGTGATTATAGGAAAAGACTTACTGGCCCTTTGGTTGTCTGATCTATTTGAAGGGATTTTTTTCCTTATTCTGATTTTTTCCTTATACTTATTCCTTATTCTTAATTATGAATATGGAATATGGAATTATAAATTTGGAAATAACAAGTACCATTTAAATATTAAGCAAATATTCAAGTCATTTAATGTGATGAGTTTATTTATTGATTACTTACTACTTAAAAAGCATTAATTAGTCAGAAAGCAAGTAGTATTGCTGGTTTACTGTAATTATGTAATTATATGATGGTATGTAAATCTTAAATAAAATCTTAAATATATAACCAGGTTCAGATTTCCCTGTTGAAAAATAACCACAGTTGACAGGTATGAGGTATGCTTCCTGTATTTCAGGCAAGTGTGCAGTTAATGAAAGATAGACTATTCCTAATCAAGGAATTCTTATGGTTTCATTCATATGTATATATATAAAATCTTATGGATTCTTATATAAATACACATACACATATAACAAGTACTATTATTTCTGTTTTGTATATGAGATTGAAATTTGGAGAAGTAATTTGTAAAAAAAAAAGTTTACACAGTTAGTGGTAGGACTTGCTGTCTAAGTCCAATGTCCATTGCAAACATACTACAAGGCAGATTAATGCACCATCTATAATTATAATTATGTAAGATTTCCAGTGACACCAAAAATTGGTACTCAAACCTATTAAGCAAAATTATGTAAAACATCATTTCCTTTGCAGTATGTGGGAAATGAAGTTTTAGAGTTGCATGGAGTTTTTTGTTTGTTTCTTTGCTGAATTGTCTTTGCAGCAGTGTCTACTTTCATAGCAATTAATGATAGTTGCGCTTTGTCCTCTGAATGGTATACAACACCACAACAGGTTTCTCCAAACTTGGGAACTTTCTATTCTTTGTATAGAGAATTCTTCTTGCTTAAGTCAAAGTTCTTAATATTATTGGATTGTCTTTCATTGATAACAGCATTGATATTGACCTATGATATTGACCTATGATATTGTCATAAATTTATGTACCGTGAACTAATATGAGCACCTCATTTCCAATTTGGATTTTATCATTTTTTTGAACAGAGATTGCCTGATATAGTCCTGTCATAACAAACAATATGAATTATTATTACCTTTAAAGTTCCTTTTATTCATTGATACAATTGTACCTACGAAGTGTACAGTTAATGAAGGATTGACTATTCCTAATCAAGGAATTCTTAGAAATTCTCTTGAAAGGAATTGGCAGGGTTTACTCTCTATAGCTGTTGGAAGGTTTTAGCTTTTAGAGGAAAAGCCAGATCTTTTACCAGAACTGACCAAACCTTAGAATATTGCAATTAGGTTATGATATGAACCGAAAACAACTTTATTAAAAGCATTTTTGATGTTACCAAAGAAGAGAAGAAATAGACATTATGCAATTTTCACATTTCACTGTTGGCAGCTCTTATAATGGGATACAGACAATATTTTCCTCTTAAAGAAAAATAGATACATTTGCTCCAAGACTTAAAAACCTATTTTCTGAAACAAACACCTATTCAAATAACTGTGTCTGAAATTTTTTGATTCATGATTGATATTATTTTGAGTAATGCATAATTTTAATATTTATCAGAATTCATCTTTTAATAAAAGTTCATTCATGTAGATCTTGCAAAGCTACTGCTGCAAGTGACTGTTACTAAAACATACTTTGCATTGAATAAGCCTCTGTGTTTAGAAGACAGCGGAGACATTCCTGGCAGCTTGATTCACTTGAGAGCAGGAGTTCTTGAGACACTGAATAGCTGCCATGAACAGGCATTTAGAGTCTTCCAGCTCTTAGAATACTGGTTTTATTTTTGTCAGTGTATTCCTGGAATGTGTTGTGAATCCTTTTTACAAGATGTATGTCGCTTCCATGATGTTTTCTGTCTTCATCTGAGCTCCTCTCTTTCTTTTCTTTCGTTACAGATGTCATATACTTTCCCCCTAAAATTCTGACAAGTGTTGGGTCTAACGTTTCTTTTCACTGCATTTATAAAAATGAAAACAAGATTGTTTCCTCAAAAAAGATTGTTTGGTGGATGAATTTGGCTGAGAAAATTCCTCAAAGCCAGTATCAGGTTGTGAGCGACCATGTTAGCAAAGTTACTTTTCCCAACTTGAAAGCAACCAAGCCTCGAGGGAAGTTTACCTACGATGCAGTGTACTGCTGCAATGAACATGAATGCCACCATCGTTATGCTGAATTATATGTGATTGGTAAGAATTCTGAGGTTTTGTTCATTTAGTTCTGCTAGACACATTTTTATTATGGACCCTATATCAGTGGCCTATTAAAGATGTTAAGACAATTTTTTTTTCATTAAAAGTTCTGGTGTTTTTGCTTTATATTAATATTTTAATGTGTTTTAAATAGATGTCAATATCAATATATCATGTGAAACTGATGGGTACTTAACTAAAATGACTTGCAGATGGCCAGCCAATATAGTCCAGTCACTTGTGGGAAGTACTCTGCACTTGAGGTATCACAGGTATGTGTTATTTTTGCTGCTTTATTTTTCTGTGCGTATGGTGAAATAAAAATAAAAATTTTCCATAGAAATACCACAGATAGAGGCTGGGATTGTGGCTCAGTGGTTGAACGCTTGCCTAGTACATATGAGACATTGGGTTTTATCCTCAGCATCACATAAAATAATAAATAAAACAAAGATATTGTGTCTGTCTATAATTAAAATTTAAACAATAATATTAAATACCACTGATAATAGTACTCTTGTAGATTTTCTTCCTGAAAGCAGAAGGTAGAATATAATTAGTGGGGAAATTTTTGAGGGATTAAATAAGTTGATAATTCTTGAAAAACATTTATACCTGAGGTTTAAAAATTTGTAACTTTTTTTTACTTCAGATTTCTTATCTAACAACTGGTTTTCTTTCCATGTTTTTTTATTGGTGCATTATAGTTACTTACAACCAGTTTTCTAAAATCGCATTTTAACTCTTGAATGATATTCAGGAAAAAATAGTTTATATACAATTTAATTTGACCTAGAAAATTGACTAGAGTAGAAGAATGTGGGGGATTAAAAAAGTTTATCATTTGGCTGAAGATTAATATTTTAGAAAAAAGAGGCAGACACAAAATATTCTAATAGACAATATGAATGTTTTTTAGAACTGGATGATATTTTAGGAAATATGTTAATGAAGAGTAAAATGTTCTAATAAAGAGAAATGTGTGCCTGCTTTTTACCTTTCTTTGTTTTAAATACAATTTGAGAAATCAAATTGTGAAGGAACCATTATAGTCATTTCTGTAACCCCCTGCATCACTGGGCACAAAAATCAACCCAAAAATCTAATTAATTCTGAGTTATGGTTAGCATATAGTCATTGATAGTTGTAATGGGGACTGTGATGTCAGTTCCTTTATTTGCTCAAGACCATGCAGATGAAGAGGAATAAATGTGAGATTCTTGATTTGTACCCACATGAAGATCACACGATATGTTACCTTGGGATGCACATGGCTACTCATCTCAGAAGCTGTTTGCTGTTTCAAGCACAGTCACACAGTTTGACACCATAGAAGATATTCATTAAGAAATTTCTAGTCCCATCTTGCTGTAAAAATGAAGTTATTAGAGAATTTTAGTTGCTATGGGGGGAAAACACACTCCTCTTGAAAAATAAAAGAATGCATTTTAAAAAAAACAATTTAAGACATATTCTTACAGTATTCCCCTTGTCTCTATAAAGCATTTTATCTAGAATGATATCACCTTTGATAAGAAGTTAGATACAGTGTCATTTAAAAAATACTTTATAGTATTTTAAAATATGTGTACTGTTCTTAAACACTGTGCTCCAATTTGGTCTTTATTTGTATTGGAGACTGAACATGTAGAACATGCGCATTTATTTTTAGAATCTAAAATTTCTACTTGAAAAATGAATCCCCTCCTTCAAATATTGTGGTTTGAATTCTGTTCCTAGTTGCTCTGATTCTCTTTGTATGACGTGTCAAGAAAAAAAAAAGTGACTATTTCTGCATTTCCCAAATTAGAAAAATAGCTGCCTTTATCCTACTTGGTTTTAGTTTTTTAAGTCAATATAATATTCATGATATGGTATTTTACTTTTATAATCTCTCTTTACATTCTTTTCATGGTGTTTTTGCATTAAGAGAGGTGTTAATGGAAGACTGTAATATAAACCCCATACCCTATTGACCTCACTAACATTTATAGAATAACCATGGTACTAGCTGTACATTCTTGGGTGAGTTTCTGAACCTCCTCAAGCCTAAACTTCCTTTGCTTTTATAGATAGGATCTAAAGGGTTTCTATGAAAAATAACGCCATATTTCATTTACTTACAATTAAATGATATAATTTCTAGAAAACATTCAGTAAGTGATTACTGCTGTCAGAATGACAATGATGCTAAACATTTCACTTGACTTAAAGTGAATATTGCTATGCTTCTACAGTGTTCTTATGTTTTATCCACAGATGGTCCCTTCTCTCTCTTTTTTATTTTTCCCCTCTTATTATTACTTATACCTTCATTTTGGTAATCTTCAGGGAATAAAAAAATCATTACAAAAATGAGAAATGAGAGAATATAGATTAGATTTCTTCCTGAATTCCTCATTCCCACTTCGATGGAAAGAGTAACTGCTACTTTTGCATTTGAATACCATATTCAGAGCAAGTAGAGGACAGAAGAGCTGTTTGCAGAGGAAAGGAGAAATGTTTTATATATTTAGAAGTGGGATGTTGTTGGTTGAGACTCAAAATTTTTTTCACTTTGTTTTCTGAGAAAATGAATAATCTACTTGACTTTATGATTCGTATGTGTATCAGGAATTGGTATTATTTTTATTATATTAATTTGAACTCAAATATCAGGTACTATCAATTCGGCTATATTGTGTACCATCAGCTACATTTTCCATTTGTTGTGGAATTGAATCCCCTATTTATTGTGTGAGGATTTTGCCTTTTCCCATCCAAAGAATGTTTCCATTACTACTTTTGATCTATACTTTTAAAAATTATATCACTAATATATAATATTAGCTTAGCTTTCTAAGTATTTTAGATTTTAACTGGATTTTATTATTTGCATTTATTTCATAAATAATATTAATGGAGTATGGGGTTTATATTACAATTTATTTATTCATTGCATCCCCACTTAATACATAATGAAATATTTTATAGGAGTTATGCCTATAGAAAAACATAAGATTAAAATATAGCTGGGAATTCAAGAATGCCTTTCTAATACGAATATTTACTTGTAGATAGAACATTTATTTGTAGTCAGCAAAACTGTTTCTTAAACAAGTCAGAATTCTCAAATATTTTCCTATTGATTTTATCAGTGTTGTATACTAATTGACTATTTTTGTATATTTTAAGGAGCAGCCTTTATTGTTCTGATATTCCATCTATTCATCCCATATCTGAACCCAAGGATTGCCATTTGCAGAGGGATGGTTTTTATGAATGCATTTTCCAGCCAATCTTTCTATTATCTGGCTACACAATGTGGATTAGGATCAATCACTCTTTAGGTTCACTGGACTCTACACCAACATGTGTCCTTCCTGACTCTGTAGGTATGTCAAACTGTGTTGTGTGTCTACACTTTATTTTCTTTTTGCAATACTGGGGATTGAATCTCAACCTGTGTCTCCATTTTTATTAGCAGATTTAGTTGCAGATGGATTCAGGATTAATGTATTTTTCTATTTTCTGATTATACTGGAATTTGGAAAAAAACTGTTTACAATGGAATTGAGATGATCAACCTTAGAAAGTTATACATTTTAAATTTCATTTATAGCATTCAACAATTGAAATATTTCCAGCACACTATCTGATGAATTACATGGGCCACTGTGAATGAAATTTAGTAATATTTTTCTAAATAATGCACTGTTTTTTGTTTTTCTCCTAGTATAGTTATGAAAACATCAATATTTTTAATCTGAAAGTTTAATTTGGATATTCTAGTGTCTTTGTAATCTGGATAGTCATAGTCCAAGATTTTAATTTGGAGTCTGTGTTGTAAAAGCATTTGGAATATTTACAGTGAAGTGCCTAAAACAGACAAGATGATGACGTTCATCATGATATTAAAATATTCTTTTCAAAAGGTGCTTTGACTTCAGAGGATTTAGACAATCCTTTGAAAATTGGCGCTATCCCTTCAAAACCATTGTGAAATCTTTAGACAGTGACTATACAACAGAGTGAAAGAATATTTTTGAATTAGAACCTACATATTGTTAAATGTAAGATGAACTTGTTTTAATTACTAGATTTCTTTTTCAATGTTAAGTCATAATCAATTGATTCTCTCTCCCATTATATAATTCCCTTGTAAGTAAGTGTTTTAACTTCACGTGGCATTTTTCTGGTGCTAAATATCTTAGGACAGCAAGGAATCCTTCTTCCCCAACAGCACATACAGATAACACATCATCTCTTAATTTTCCACATAACACATAATCTCTTAAGGTAGACAGAATGTCTACATTTAATCTTCATCATGGCTTGAATTGCTTAGTGGTTTCTGTGGTTGTTGTTGGTAGTGGCTGGTAGTGGAACTGGCCTTGTGAAGTTGATCCCTGGAGTTATGACAGAGAGCTCTAGAAGCTCCCAGTTATGCTTGGGTTTCCAGGCTTTCAGTTTCAAATATGTCACATTTCCATATTGACTTTTATTGTTAGGAGGAGAGGCCCTCAAATTAAAATATTAAGAACTTAGGAAAATTTCTGTAGTTCACATATTTCATACATAAGCTGAAGCTTTGACTTTGCCTCTGAGAATAGCAATATAAAAAGGTGATAAGAAAATAAGGTAACTTTTTTTCTTTGCATTTCTATGGTTTGTTTTTTACATTATGCCTTTAAATATGTCTTTCCTATATATTTAACTTTTAAAATGCTGTTTTGAAATATCAGGGCATATTAGTTCTGTTTTTCTGCTTATTAACCTGTTTCCCTCAGATTGTACAACACCAAGATTTTACTTTAAGAGACTACTGTTGATCTTGACTTTAATCTATAAGTAATAATAGACATCAAGAGAAGAGTTTGAAACTGATGCATGTAGAAATTGATGATGTTTTGATCTCCAGTTAAAGGTGCATGTAGAACAGAATTTACTGTAGATATTTATCATGTGTTCAGTATGGTAAATTTGCACGCAGAACCAATATCTAAATTTCTAATCAGGTATTATTATTACCATGTTGGAGTAACATGGATATTGTTCTTTTTTTTAAAATCAGTCTGTTTGCAAAACAGAGATTATTCTTTTCTTATGTATCACATAAAGTTATAGGGGATCAGATAAGGCAATGAATGATTGTTTTTAAAAGATAGTGCTTTATAAATAAGGTATGAAAATATAAAATGTTTAAATTTCTATTACATAATATTGTTTTTTAAATTTCAAGTGAAACCACTGCCTCCATCTAGTGTAAAAGCAGAAATTACTGTAAATATTGGCTTATTGAAAGTCTCTTGGGAAAAGCCAGTCTTTCCAGAGAATAATCTTCAGTTTCAGATTCGATATGGATTAAGTGGAAAAGAAGTACAATGGAAGGTACATTTTTCCTTAGCTTGCCTCACTATATGCAGTTTTATATAATGTTTAAGAATTTCATGACACAAGATTAATTTTATTGACATAAAAATATATCCTTCTGAATTCTTGTAGCTATTTTCACTAATTAGATTGATTAAAGTCTGACCCTTTTAGGGACGAGTTTGCTGTTCCATCATTTCCCAAAGTATGTCTCATAGAACATTGGTCTTGTGAAATGTCCCTTGAGAAAAGTGTCATGGCTAAACAAATTTAGGAAACCCTGCACCTCTCTATCTTCCTCATGAAGAGTTGCCGTATTTTACACAGTAAAGGTCTGGAGACATAAAGATCCTACATTAAAAAACATTTGTGAATTTGTTTCATCTCAAGTCTCCCAAACTCATTTTTCTAAGAAACTCTTTTTCTTCGAACATCTATTAATATTTTTTAGTACACCATTGTTCAATGGAATGCATTTTGAAAGAAGCTGCTTTTATTAAACAATCAGATTTGTATCCATAGTGACAAGCATGTATATGATAGCTTTCCGTGACAGTTTCGTGATGGCAGCCTGCAGAAATCTAGCAATATGAGAAACCCCAGTGATGTCCATTAGCCCACAAGGTTTACAATTAAATGAATGTAACATTTTATCTGCTTGTGGAGCGAGACTAAATGCAGAGATTCTCTACAGAGGTAATCACTAAATTAAAATTCTGAGAAGTCAGAATTCTGGATAGAGAATTAGAGGAAAAAGATTAGTAATAGGGTAAAAGAGTACTTGCAAAACAAGGTTGCAAGTGGACCAATCCAAAATCTTGTCCTAAAGAGATCTTTGACTTAAAGGCACTCAGTCCAATCTTTGTGTGTGTGTGTGTGTGTGTGTGTGTGTGTGTGTGTTTATGTAAGGCAAGCACTTTACCAGCTGCAGCCATACCACTCTGAACATGCCCAATCTTGCCTGATCTCAGAAGCTAAGCAAGATCAGTCAGGCCTGGTTAGTACTTGGATGGGAGACCACCTAGGAATACCCCGTGCTGTAGGCTTTTGTGCCCCTCTCCCACACACACTCAGTCCAATCTTAATGTGACTATTTCTGAAACCAGAAAAACAAAATCAGCTGTCTTTTAATTTTGAAATAGTGTTAAGGTTTCAAATAAAATGCACCCAAGGCCTTTTAGATACATGTGCATCAGTAATGATTAACCTAATGCTTTGACTTAATTTACAGGTACATGAGGTATATGATGCAAAATCAAAATCTGCCAGTCTTCCAGTGCCAGATCTATGTGCAGTCTATGCTGTTCAGGTGCGCTGTAAGAGGTTAGATGGACTGGGATATTGGAGTAATTGGAGCAGTCCAGCCTACACAGTTGTCATGGATGTCAAAGGTCTGCAAGGATTATGTAAACATGTTTTGAAAATTCATAAGTGTGTGCTTCAAATATGACTGAAAATATTCCTTCCCAAAACATATGTGTAACTTGAGCTTCTTGTTGTTTTTGCAGTTCCTATCAAAGGACCTGAATTTTGGAGAATCATTAATGGAGATACTACTAAAAAAGAGAGAAATGTCACCTTACTTTGGAAGGTATTCCTGCTTTTTATGTCATTCTTAAACTTTATGTTTATACTCTTAAAAGATGTACTTATTGTTCATAATCCTATCAATATTAATCTCTCAAATGACCTGCAATCCCATATTTTCACTTCATTTTTTAATGTGAGTAGGATGTATAGTGGTAGAATGTAAAGAGATAGGATATATAGTAACTGGAGCATTGGCCTGGAGTTAGTAGACTCTCATTCTTTTCTCAGCTTATCATTTTATAATTATGCTGTTACTATTATACTTTGACTTTTGGGGCTTCATTTTACTCATCTGTATAAAGGTAAGAGTGGACCAGTGATATTTAGTGTTCCTTTGAGTCCCCAAACTGCCTTATATTTAATCCTGAACAATGTAAATGTGGTCTTCCCCTCATAGCTCAAAAGCATCTAAGACATATGAGACTGTTCTATCAATGTAATGACATATAAATAATGTTCCGTAAACAATGGATATTTGATAGAAATTCCAGAGTATTCTTTCTCCCAAATGAATTGATTTCTATCCCAAGTGAATAAATTATTTGATCAGTAGACACCAAATGTAAGACTGATTTGGGAATACAGTAGTATTTGTATCACCCTAAATGTGAGACTCAAGTTCAGTTCTCAGGTGTGAATCAACATGTTTGAAAGTGGTTTCCTGAAAAATTAGGGTGTATAAGAGTTTATGTACTTTTAGTTTGTAAATCCAGTAATACTATACAATTTTATTTGGCCAATAAGCAATGCAATTTCTGAATGTTTTCTATTTCAATATTTTAATGTAAAGTTTGCATTAATAACTGATAATTTTAAAAAACTTTAATTTATTTAAATTTAAATAGCCACAAATAGCTAGTGACCATCATGATACACACCTCAACTCTGTGTGTTCTTCAGTGTTGTTCTGAGGGAGGGAGATTGACCCTTACTAATCTACCATCTTTCAAGGAACTTGAATGCCTTTTGTTAACTGAACTATCTTTCATTAACTTTGTTTTGTATGATTTTATTTTGGTTTCCTAAACTGAGGTACTAAGTCAGTGATTATGGTTCCTGTGTTAGCCAGCTTTCCAACTGACATCTTACAGGGAGGAGGAAGGATTTATTTTGGCTCACAGTTTCTGAGGTTTCAGTCCATGGTCAGTTGGCTCCATTGCTTTTGGCTTTGTGGCAGGGCAGAACATCATGGTGGAAGCACATGGCTGGGGAAACTGGCTGCCTTACTGTGGTGGGGAGGCAAGAGGGAAGGGTGATGTCCCAATAACCCCCTTCAAGAACACACCCACAATGTCCTAACTTCCTTTTTCTAGGCCTCACCTTCTAAAGGTCCCACCACTTTCCAGTGGCACCACAAGCTAGTGACCAAGGCTTTAATCCATGGCCTTTGGGGGACATTCAAGATCCAAACCATAGATGTTCCCCAGGGCTGTGCTTCTCAAACCTCTGGGGTAAAATTTGCCCAAAGGTTTAGAATGAATAAGTCACAAGACCACAGGATAAGAACAGTACGATATATATATATATATTTCCCCTCTGGCTTTAAGTTAAATAAAAACTTCATTTGGGGGCAGTTTTACATTTATAGAGAAACAACAAAGATAGCACAGAAAATTTCCATCTATCTCATATCAAGTTTATTAATAACATTTTAGAATAACATTATACTTTTGTTATAATTAAACAACATATGTTATTATTTACTGAAGTTCTTTTATTCAGATTCAGATTTCCTTAGTTTTTACTGAAGGGTTTCTTTTTGGTCCATCACATTATAGCTTCAGTAGTCATGACACCCTATGCTCTTCCTAGATGTAAAAGTTTCTTAGACCTTTGTTTTTTATGAACTTGACATATTTGAGGATTACTGGTTGGATATTTTGTAGAATTTCTCTCAAATGGGTTTTGTCTGATGTTCCCTAATGTTTACTTTCTGGGAGAAAGACCACTGATTAAAGAGGCATTCCATCATATCATATTAAGGCTGCATATTACCAATGTGACTTAATAAAGTTGGTGCTAAAGCTGCTCACTTGACTGAGGTAGTTTATCAGTTTCCCATTGTGAAATTACTCTTTTTCCCCCTTTCCATTTTGTACTTTTTGGAATAAACTCATTATGTATTGTCCCTGCTTAAGGAGTGAGAGTTATATGTTCCACCTTCTTGAGAGTGGAGGATCTACTTAAATTATTGAGATTTTGCATGGGAGATTCATATATTTTCCTACATTTATTTATTTATTCATTTGTTTTTATCACTATGAACAATGTATATTCACACTATACTTTAGGTCATGTTCTAATACAGGTTGAGTATTCCTTATGCTAAGTGCTTGGGACCAGATGTGTTTCAGATTTTGAAGGTTCTTTCTCTCTTTCTTTCTTTCTAGTGCATTATAATTATACATAATATTGGGGTCCATTTTGATAAAATTACACAAGCATGGAATATAATTTGCTCCAATTCAGTCCCCAGCACTTCCCTCCCCTCCTTCTACTCCTGTTCCCTTTCCTCTACTGGTCAGTCTTCTATTTATTTTTATATTTTATATTTTATTGTTTTTTAACTAATGGATTAAAGTTATCTCATAAGGGACTTATAACCAAATTACACAAAGAACTCTTAAAATTTAAACAATAGGAAAGCAACCCAATTACATACATCTAACCAAAGTAAATATACTAATGGTAAATAAAAATATTAAAACCATTTAACATAATTTGTCATTAAGGACTTTCGAAGTGTAACAACAATGAGATACCATTCCACACCTATTAGAATGATTAAAGTAAAACAAAAACAACAACAACAAAAAAACCCCTGAAATACAAATTGATGACGAGGATGCAGGACAATAAGAATTTTTATTTATTGCTGGTAGGAATGCAAAATCATCCCTCCACTTGGGAAGGTTTGGCAGTTTCTTAAAGTGCTAAATGTAGCCTTACCATATGATGCAGCATTGCACTCCCAGTTATTACCCAGGTGATTTGAAAACTTATTTGTCCACATAAAAACTTGCACATGGATGTTCAAACCGCTTCATTCATAAATCACTCTAAACTGGAAGCAACCAAGATATCCTTCAAAAGTGAAACTGTTCTGTGTAATACTGAAATGGTAAGTATATAGCACTGTGCATTTGCCAAAACCCATGAGCTTTATAGCACAAGGAATGATTTGAAACGCATGTAGATTTTTTTAAAAAATCCAAGGACGTTGGAACATCCCAGGATGGAATATAGACCATGACAAGGTGGTAGGAGAAAAGTCCTTAAGTAAGTAGAAAGGTGTGGAGTTTTACTACTAAAGCTGAAAGAAACCACAATAAACACTGAAATGTAGTTGATGTGTCTCTCATGAGAGTATAGACTAACAGTATTGAACCACCATACATATCCTAGAATGGAACAAGTAAGTAAATGAATGGCAAGTGGTGAGATACAGGTTTCTCACTGTTGGAAGGGGAGGTTACAGATAAGCAAGGGGAGGAGGCTAGAGTGATCCATGTGGTCATTAATTAAGATTGGAGACATTATCATGGATTCGAGTTGAAATATAAACTCATATTTAGCTTAGTATAGGTAGACTTTTGAGGGAATATCAAAAGTCTAGAGATATGTGTATATGCAGGAGTTAATTCACACGTACATTTCCTTGATTTGTAAGCTAAGAGCTAAAAGTAATGACACTCAAGTATAAGAAGCATGCCCAGATTTATTTCTAATATCATTATCCAATGAAAGGAACAGCAGGGGCTGGGGTTGTAGCTCAGTGGTAGTGTGCTTGCTTAGCATGTATGAGGCACTGGGTTAGATCCTCAGCACCATATAAAAAATAAAAAAAATAAACAAATGGTCCATTTACAATCAGAAATGTTTAAAAAAAAAAGGAAAAGAAAGAAAGGAACAGGGATCTTGAGAGAAATGGCTAATGTTAGGGCTGGGGCAGGAACTATCTAAGATGAGCCTATAGCATCTTGTAGTAGATGCTTATTATTGATGATTACAAAAATAAATATTTGTATATTAAAACTGACATGGATTATTCAAATAAAATTCAAAGTTTGCATGACTTTCGAGATATTTCTTTCTTGCTGTAGCTGCTAACATCTTACTCCCAATCTATGCACAGGATTCTAAGAAATACATGTGTTTGTTTTTCTCTATCATTTCTGACTTAGAGGCATCTAAATGGGGGAAAAAATAAAAGCAGATTTCTAGTATGTAGTCACCTTTCTATGGCTTTATAAGGGATTGGTAGCTTTTAATTTTACCTCTAACAGGTCAATATGATTGGGAAAGTAGGGTATGTTTTTAAGCTCTGTAGAATAGAATAGAGTTGTACTCAGTATATATTTTACATAGTAATCTTTGACCTAGTGTGATTTGAGAAAAATAAAACTATAGGACAGAAATGCTGATAGCCTCTGTTGTTTGTTAACCTTTCCCCAATCTTCCAAGCATATCAGAGCAATGACTGACAGATCTTACTAGGATTAATGTAAATGATGATTAATATCTTCTTAGCTCTTTCTTGTTGCTTTACAGAATATGAGAGTTAGTTCTTATTTGCTTTTGAGATGAGGAAACCCTATGTCTTGTCATTCTTTCTTTCTCTAAAATTAGAGTGAAGTGTCTTTTTAGAAAAGTGTCCTAATTATCTCATTACTTCATTATTTTTGAGGGATTTATTCTCCCAGTCTTAAGAAAAAAACAAAAACTAAAACAAAGAAAAATGTGGGGGTAGTGGGGGGGGAGATTAAGTTTCCTATGCTCCATAATTACCCAGACATCTGTATGGTGGTTGTGGTTCCAGGCAGCCTCCATCTCTCCCCACCTTCCCAGTCCCTCCACATTATTAATAGGCAATGCCTGGTCTGATTCCTGCCTCCCAATGGCAAATGTATAAAAGCTGCATGAGCTCAGCTGATAAAAAAAGCACTGTGTTCTTAAAACTAATCAATTTTTATGTTTACTACAGCCCCTGATGAAAAATGACTCATTGTGCAGTGTGAGGAGATATGTGGTAAAGCATCATACTTCCCACAATAGAACATGGTCAGAAGATGTGGGAAATCACACCAAATCCACTTTCTTGTGGACAGAGCAAGCACATACTGTTACAGTTCTGGCCATCAATTCAATTGGTGCTTCTTTTGAAAATTTTAATTTAACATTGTCATGGGCTATGAGCAAAGGTAAGAAGATATACAGAGTAGTAATCTGTTGTCCCTCTTAATATTTAACTTTTGCAAAGCATTCCCTTTTTAACTTATCTTCTGAGCAGCGTGGGGTTCTCTTTCATGCTTTATCTCTTCTTTGACTGAAAAATAACAAAATACAGTATACACAGGTTATGTTCATGTGATAGAACATTGTTGAAATGGTATTATAATAATTGAAAATATTCTACTAAATCTAATACTTAAACTTTTGGAGCAATGGAGGTTGTAGGTCATTGTCCCCTTTCTCTGTGCATGTGCAAAAATAAATTCATATAGTATTTTATGTATAAATATATATTATAGATAGTCTACTATATATATGCACTTTATAATATGTGGTATATTTACATATAATACTTTATACACAAAACACTATACATTCATAGTAATATGACATGTTATATGGATACAGGTTAATTGCTGAGATTTGAAAATTACTGTAGACTTCATTTACTGTGAGTAGCAAACCCTTTTTCATTAATTTTGATATATGATTAATCAGAGAATCAAGGACCACTTTCAATAGGAGTTTCTATTCTGGATTATATATTCAAAGTATAAGTTTTTAATAAAAATGCAACATTGTTTAACTTATTGTGTAAACTTCTTGTAAGTTTGATAATGCCCAGTACAACATTTATACTTAAATTTTTTTCAGTAAATGTGTTCTAGAAGTATTTGTTGAATGCTTCAGTGTGCTAAGTGGGGAAGTTTCAACATGAGAAAAAACTATAATGAGGCATAGTCAGAGTCAATGGATGGGATAGTTATGAATCAAATAATCATACAAGTGATTGGCTACTTATAAGCTAAGTGTCCTTAAGAAAGGAATATAATTTTATGAAATTAAAAAATGAATAAATAAAAAGGAACATGACCTGGCATTGAGGATCAGAGAAGTCACCTTGAGGAAATGGTATTAAATTGAAATCTGAAGTGTGAATAGAAGTTAGATTTCCTCATTTGTGGGGTGGGGTGAAGAACATTGGTCCCAACAGAGGAGCAGCTGATCAAAAGTCTTTTTAGCACAGGATAAGAAAAGAAGGAAAACCAGGATGGCTTTATTGTAGAAATTTGCAAAAGTCAGAGAAGTAGGCTGAGACTTGGCCCTCAGAGCCTTTTAGGCATGATAGGAATTTTAGGCTCAGATGTGGAAATCGACTGGAGGCTTTTAAGTCAGAATCTGTTCTGAGGGTATTAAAATGAACAGATTTTTTGCTTTGAAAGCATCACTGTGTCAGCAGGAGAGAAGAGTTTGGAGGGAATCCTAGAGGATGGTTAATAGGCTTGTGCAGGATTCCAGCTGAGAACAATTTTGACTCTCGAGAAAATTCCTTTTTTTAGATCTTAGGTGGAATCATTTTTCTCCTCCATATCATGTATTCCTATCTCTCTCTGCTTATGTGACTCTCATGATGGAAAAATAATTGGTATGTATTACATTTACATAAATTGTCTGCTGCCTTTTCTCCCTTCATCCAATAGGTCATAAGTTCCTCTAGGGTATTAATAAATTTTCATTAATTTTAATTTAAAAATAAATGTTCTCTTTTCCCTTCAGTAAATCTCATGCAGTCGCTCAGTGTTTATCCTTTAAACAGCAGTTGTGTGATTCTTTCCTGGGTGCTATCACCCAGTGATTACCGTCTCATATACTTTATCATTGAATGGAAAAATCTTCATGAAGATGATGAAATTAAATGGCTTAGAATCCCTTCAAATGTTAAGAAATATTATATCCATGGTAAGTTTGCTATACTTTCTTTTTCTTTTTTTTTTTTTTTGGTGGTAATGGGGATTGAACTAAGGCCTCATGCATGTGAGGCAAACACTCTACCACTGAGCTACATACCCAGTCCTAAATTTACTGTATTTTAAAAAGTTTGGCTCATGGATTAGTATGATACTGTATAAATTAATTCAAATAATTTAGCTAGTTAATGAAAACTTTAAAAACATAGATAGTACTACCAGCTTAATACTTCTATCACCTTATCAAAACATTTGATTCTATTTCCCTTGACCTTTTTTCATTTTAATAATTTACATCATTGTAATCATATATCATATATATTTGACTCAATCCTTTCTATCATTATTTTTAATGCCCATATAACTTTTTATTTCCAAATCTGCTTAAACTACTTGAGATTATTTATGTTGCTTTCAGCTTTACCTTTTTAAAACTATTGCCAAATTGCTTTCCCAAAGTATGTACTCGCTTATAATGTCACTAGCAATGAGTGGGAGTGGTAGACCACAAATCTAAGCATCTAAGTAACCACTTAGGCCAGTGTGATCTCTCAGCAGTATAACAGTTATCCCAAGGGACATGTAAAGCACAGATTGTAAGTGTTTAATACAGCCTCTCCAAGTCAGAGTAAGGATTAAGGGAAAGTAAGTAGGTAAACTAAGGATTACCATGATCTTATCACAGAAAATCATCCAAAGGACTTACACTTTCATTTCATTCCAGAAACTTATAATTTAGCATCAGGGTAAATTTGTTTATAAATTCTGGATAGAGAACTGAGTTCATGACCACTGTTGTCTAGGTGGTTACTCTCTCTGCCTTTCTTTAAATAATGGGGATATAGAATTTAAGCTTCAAAAAGATCTGCCTCTTCTAGAATAATATTCACATGTTATTAACAATCATGAAAATCCTTGTTAGGTCTTTGAGCTTTGCCACAAGCATGGCCATTCTCCTGGTATCTAGACCTCCATATATTGCAAGAGGAGGCTTGGTCATCATATCCATCCTCTTTGCAAAGGATTTCACAAGACTTTAGTCTTTCAGTTACCTTGATTGGAGAAACTAAGTAAACTAAATTCCTATAGAAGGGAAATATTACCTACTTTGAGGATAAGGGAGAGAAGGGAGTACATATTCTGGAAAAGTGAAGGAAAGAAAGCTCTTATTCTGAATTGAACATAGTGGCTATAACTGAAACACACCTTTGAAAAATCACAATCTTCTGTGTCTGAGTAATATATTTGAAAAGTTGTTTGGAAAACTATTATCATTACTAGGGAGTGTGGAATGCTTAGGTTATTTTCAAAACTCCATCATGACTTCAGTCTATAAATAACTGCTGACTTCTGTTTGGAAAACAGCATATTTTTTAAAAATAGGGTCTCCTCAGTATTAGTTAAGCAGAAATGAACTTTTACTGTATTTTCCTCCTCAGATCATTTTATCCCTATTGAGAAGTATCAGTTCAGTCTTTACCCAGTATTTATGGAAGGAGTGGGAAAACCAAAGATAACTACTAGTTTCACCCAAGGTAAAAGTTTTTCTTTTAGATCATTTTACACTGATATGTGTTTCCAGATTTATTTGAAATTATGTTGCCATTGGATTATTCTTTTTCTGATGAGATCATGGAAGAGTCAGGTCTTATGTAAATGTAAAATAGGATGGTTCAAAAGAAAATATCTTTTCTCTAAAAATAAAAATAGATAGTTATACAGTTACATTCACTGTACCTTTTATATTTCTGATGTGATTTATTGTACTTGAATTACCAATGATTTGATCTTATTTTTCTTTAATTGTCTTCAAATTCAAACAACCTAATAATATACTTTTGGTTTTGGTATTGGGTATTGAACCCAGTGGCACTTAAGCCATATCCTCAGCCCTTTTATTTATTTATTTTGAGACAGGGTCTCACTAAGTTGCTTAGGCCTTGCTAAACAGCTGAAGCTAACTTTGAATTTGCCTCAGATTCCCAAACCACTGGGATTAGTTAGAGGTGTGCCCCACCATGCTTGGTTCCCAATAATGTCGTTTTTATAAAGAAACATTTTATCTGATTTTAGAATGAAGATAATTTTAAAAATTATTTCAGTATTTAACAAACATTTATTGATATAATCTAAAGGTAATCTGATAGAGTGGCATGGCAAAGAAATAATATTATTCTAAGAATGGAGGTTAAAGGGTGAACATAAGATTCTGTCATCATGGAGCCTAAACCTCAGTGAACTAATGGGAGTGATGGACAAAGAGAGTATGTAAAATATAATGTCAGATAGAAATAGGTACCTAAAGGAAAATAAAAGTAAGATGAAGGGATGGAGTTAAAAATGTGTTGCTTTAGTTAGTAAGCCCAGAAATGGTAATTTTGTGGTGCTGATATTTGCGTATAAAAGGGAGGAACACTCCAGGCAAAGGGGTAGCTTTATGTAAAGGCCCTGAAGAATGAGCATAGTAATTCTAGAAACAGCCAGGAGATGCGTGTCTCTGGAGGGAACAAGATAAAGTTTGGCAAGTATTTTAGATTGGGTTTGTTGGGAGAAGATGCTATGACTCATCATGAAAACTTTTTTTAAAAAATCTGTTCTTTTTAGATATACATTACAGTAGAGTGTATTTTGATATATCATTCATACATGATGTATAACTTCCCATTTTTGTGGTTATGCATGATGTGGCATTTCACTGGTGGTATATTCACATATGAACATAGGAAAGTTATGTCCAATTCATTCCATTGTCTTTCCTATTTCAATCCCCCATCCTTTCATTCCTTTCCCTTTGTCTAATCCACTGAACTTCTATTCTTCTTCCCTCCCCCTTCTTGTGTGTTAAGCCTCCACATATCAGAGAGAACATTTGACCTTTGGTTTTTTGGGATTGGCTTATTTCACTTAGCATGATAGTCTCCAAATCCATCCATTTACCAGCAAAAGTCATAAAGTCACTCTTTTTATAACTGAGTAACATTCCAAAGTGTGTGTGTGTGTGTGTGTGTGTGTGTGTGTGTGTGTATCACATTTTCTTTATCCACTCATCTGTTGAAGGTGTCCTTCAACACCTGGTTTGGCTCCATAGCTTAGTTACTGTGAATTGAGCCATTATAAACATTGATGTGGCTGTGTCATCACCACAAGTTTGATACTTTGACTCATATCTAAAGATAATCTGATGGAGTGGCATGGCAAATAAATAATTTTGAAAAAATTTTTGCTAGGTCTTAAGTATAATGCTAAACAAAACATTAATGTGGATATAATATACTTTTGTCTCCCTCTTATTTTTTAAGACAAAGATTTATTTTGAAATCTGAAAAAGTCTACTATAATTTTGATACAGAAAGAAATTAAGATTGCCTTAAGTATCTGAATTGTGTCAATTATATTTCTTTTTCAGATGATATTGAAAAACACAAGAATGATGCAGGTCTATATGTAATTGTGCCGATAATTATTTCCTCTTCTGTCTTACTGCTTGGAACATTGTTAATATCACACCAAAGGTATTGTACTTAATGTTAAGAATCTTTATGGCAAAAGCTCTAAGATTAAAACTCAAATCATGAATGTTGAAGTATTCTAAATGTTTTTGTATGTATTCATTATACAGTTAAGATGGTATAAAGTAAAAAGTTTTGCTTTCATGAAATGACTTTTCAATTTCATAGAACAACATATACCTTAAGGAAGAATTTAGTTGAGTCTTTTTTTTTTAACCCCTCTTATTATACACTTAGGAGTTAATAGACTAAAAATAGAAGTCTGGGCATGTTCTTGGATGTGATAAAAATGGCTCTTGGAGCCCTCAAATTTGGTTTGAAGATTTTAGTGGTGATCACAGGACTTTAAAAATGGACTTTATTTGTGACCTGGAGCAGTCGTTCATTTGCAATGAGCAGTCACTGTGCTCTTTAGAGAACAGCCCTGCCTGGCTCCAGTCTGTCTGGCTTGTCAGACAAATGGCCTTGAGTTCCCTGGATGGTTCTATGGCTGCCATAGATGGTTCTATGGTCAGTTGAGTTGCTGGGGCTCCATCAGATGGGTTTGTTTCTGACACCCATGTGGTAGCCACTTTCAATATTTTATTTTTTGAGGAAAATCTATGCAAAAAAAATCTGTGTTTAGCCTGGTGCCTGGCCCAAGCTTTCAATAAAATGAGCTATTTTTATTATGATGCATCATTAACTTGGCTCTAGGTAGAAATTTGATGGCACTCTTCATGGGACAGAATGTAAAAATGAATTAGACCCTGCTGAAGCATAACTGCCCTGAAGGACCAATTTCTATTTTGTATATTCATTAACTTTTAGCATTTTCAATATGCATGTTTTTCTGTAATTCTTATGACTTACTTATTTATCCTTTGTAGAATGAAGAAGCTGTTATGGGAAGATGTTCCAAACCCCAAGAATTGTTCCTGGGCACAAGGACTCAATTTTCAGAAGGTCGCTTTTTCAGTCTTTTTAACTCAAAATATGTAAGATTGCATTTTAGATGCCATATGATTTCTAAATCTTTAAACATGTTTTAAGATATAAGAGTTTTTGTTTTATTTAATTCATTTTAATTTGAGTCTGTTTAGACCTTTAAAATATCAGAATGCAGGTATTTGAAATTAGGAAGAAAAGAAATTCAGTACCAGCTTATATATGACTTGACAATATGCATATATTTCTTCTGGCCATAGTAGAAAATAAAATGAATAGTAGAATACTAAGGGTCAAATCTGATGAAGAATGGATATTTGGCCACTTTTTTGGTATAAATTCTCTTTAGGCAAAAGGCTTTGTGTCATTATATTTATATGATTTAATGTCCATAATTATTTAAGGAAACTTGAAAATTATATCAATAATCTTGTCCTCAAACTCTACAAACTGAGAAATGCATTTATCATAAAAACCCATGTTTATGCAGATATTCCCCTTTAAGCTAAAATACTTTATGTAATAGTTACCTATTAAAAAAACTTGAACTTACTTCTATAATAGAATATTTTAGAAAATTCTAGAGTTTAATGAGTGTTTTTATTAATCCTCATAATTTTCCTTGAACAAGGTTGACTTTCCACCTATAACATTGAAAAAAATCAAATTTGCTCTTCATGTCAAAATACACAATTCTTAAAATAGTAATTATTTTGAGGTTATTATGTATTAGCCATTACATGTTTATCATTACTCATTTTAGTCTTCAGTGGGGTTTTTTTTTTTTTTTTTTTTGGCTACAGGATACAAATCCTTAATCTAGTATTCAACACTTTCTCTCTACATTCTGTTGTCAATCTTCATGTACAGTTGTTTCTTCCCCTGGGCCTTGGTTGTACCTTTACTGTTTCATTCTAGCTATGCAGAGTCTTCCTCTTCGGTGAAGATCTTGCTCTACACCCTTCTTTCTCCAAGCTTTCCTTTCATGAATATAGTTCAGAAGAATTTCTTATTTAATTTCCTAGACCTTATTGTGGATAATTCTCTGAGTGCAAGGACTGCATTTTATCCATCACACATGTTTGTGAACTTTTCCTGCTCCATGCAAGATGCTAAAGTAGGATTCATTAAATAATTGCTGGTAGTTCCTAACAAGGTTGTGCACTTATTTATGTGCAGATCATTGAGATAAATACTCTTGGGTTCATATAGACTGTCCCTTCAGTTCTCAGTATCTTTGTTTCCTCTCCTGTAAAATGAGGTTAAGTTAGCTTTATTGGGCTGTTTTGGAGATTAAAGGAGATGGACCTTTCATGACATAGAAAGGTCTCAATAAATATTAGTCATTATTATTTATGATATTATTTTACATATTTTAGATTAATTATTAGCTCCATTTTGTAGAAGAGGTAGTGTTTTAAAGCCAGGATTAGTGTTCCAGCTTGTCTGACTTTGGAGCCTATAGGGGCGTTCTATAAGCAGTGACTTTCTATATATATGTTTATATACTTCTATATTTGATCATGATCCACAGTGAGAAATATATTTCACCTTTCAGCCAACTACACACACAGATATAGAGATGTAAAAGGAAAACAAAAGATGCACAGGTGGAGCAAATTATATTCCATGCTTGTATAATCAAAATAAACCCCAATGTATAACTATGATGCACTAATAAAAATATTTTTAAAACATTGAATTTATGATTATATTTCTGTCAGGAATGTATAAAATTATCTCTTTGCTCCTTATCATTATTGATTATAATTATTTAAAAATGTACTTTAAGTTTAACTTACATTATTTGAATTAAAAAGATTATTTAAAATATTTTATACGTCATTAAAAGTAGTGTTTCAGTGTTAAAAAGAAACAAAAAAACCACTATTTGCTTGAAATAGAAGGAATATAATGTTATTAAAATTCTATTTCATTTGTTAAAAATGTTCTCTGTGACCCAGTAAGTTGATTTCAGAACATTCAATGGTCTATGATCTTGAAATTAGGAAAAGTAATTTACAGCTTATTAATGAATGAATACACAAGTAATATTGTAAGCATAATTAACAATACAGAAGAGTTATACTCTTTTATCAGAAGAAAGCAATGCCCTATTTTCAGAAGAGCCGGGAGTGTAGTTTCACATATAATCCTTCTCTTTATGGAAACTGCACCTTGCCTGACTTTAGCCACAGGCCTGCATTCTCCTTGGTTGTGTTGTTGCTCACTGTGAACCATGGAGTCTCCCTTTATTACAACAGAGTTGCTGATTTTTGTCAATTACAAAACGTTTATTTCTCTTCTTTTCTATTGTTATATTTCAGGTGCATATATATATATGTATATAATTATATATGTATATATGTATATATTATATATGTATATAATTCATTCATTTGTTCAAGAAGCAAATATATATATATAAGGTTAGGTTTTTGCTCATCTGTAGAACAGATTTTCAAGCAATTCTCCTATCTAAGAAATAAGACAGTAAGGTTAAAGAAGAGTGACTAGATTGAAAGAATAGGAAGAACTTGTATTTTTTGCTTCTCTAAAATAGATTATTCATTTTTCATTCATTCATGTATTTCTTTCATTCATTTAGGATATTATTGAATACCTTTCCTACGCTAGTCACTTTGCTATCTCATCGTGTTGTAATAATAAGAAAAGTACTGCACATTCCTGGCCGGGAAAGTACTGGACATTCCTTGTCAGGGAAAGATGAGCACTAACCAGTTTATTATAGAAATAACATTACAGTCATAAACTACAGTGGTGCTAAGAACTTATGGTGTGGTCTGGTGTAGTGTGTGGGGTGGGGAGGAGTAGGTACAGTTAAGAAGGTGCAGTAAGAATCCTTCCAACACCTCCAGGTCCACAAGTTCTGTCTGTATTGATAGCCTCCTCTTGAACTCTGCTCCAGTTACACAAGCCTCCTTGTTCTTCCAGAATGCATAGACACAATATTGACCTTTGACCCAAGATCTGGTAGGTAAATAGTTATTCACAGGCTCTGGTAAGACCACCTGCAAAGCCATGTGGTTGGACGGATCAGAGCATGTTTACAAATTGGAAATGGACTGGAGGTGAAAGAGTAAGCTGGAGACTTTTCTTTTTCTTAAATATAAAGGTTTTGTCATAATAATTACCTATTTAAATAAAAAATTAAAACTTCTCTATATAAGTCTATATTAATTCATGGATGACTATCTTATTATTTCTTAGAAAGAACTAAAATCCTCTCTCTTCAGCATGTTCATGCGACACCTTACCTGGGAACCACCATGGACATGCTTCTAAGTATTTACCTAGCAAGGGAAAGATCAGGCCCACCTCAGCAAGGTGCAGTGTGAACCCACACCAGATGACTTTCCCTGTGTCTAGAAAACGCTGGCACAAAGAACTGATGAGTGGGTACAGGGTGGTTGACTTTGTCATGGACTCCGTCCTACCCCACTGTCTGCTTTAACACACCCTGAAGATCAACATGGTGCCTAGCTGGTCATCTGCCAGATCTTACATACAAGAAAAATGAAATATCACCAAAAATTTCCAGATTCTGGTAAATTAAAGAATTTTTTGATACTTACAGAAGATGTGAAAATCTTTACTTATAAGTAAGACTGATTGTTTTTTTATCTTTGCAAATATTTGGTTTTTCTAATCTTAGAAGATATTTTCTAAACAGTCACAAAAGCTTAGTTTATTACTAGGACTTAACAGGTGAATTAGAAATAAATAAGTTTTTTTAATAAAGTAGGAATATTTAAAGAGTGAAAAATATAACTTCAAAGATTTTATTAATGATAAAAATTCTCATAAAAAGAGAAAAATATTATATCTAGTCTTCTGCTTTAATCTCCTAAATAACTAAAATTTACATATTAAAGAAAAAACAATACAGTAAAACTCACTTTATGTTACCAAAGAAAAAATGACAAGTTTACTCCCTGTCCTGTGCTTTCATATTTATGTTATTTTATTTAATTCTTTCATAGATTAAAGAGCCCAGTATTTTCTGATGACAAAATTGAATCTCAGAGTAGTTCAGTAGCATGTCTTGACCACCCAGCCAGTACATATAAAAACCTGCATTCCAACCCAGGTCCATCTGATGCAAACTGATACCCTGGTCATTAGTTCCATAATAATAATGTGTCTATTCCTTAATGTACTAAATACTACTGAATTACATACCTAAACATAATGGAAATGGTAAATTTCATGTCTATATGTTTTAACATAGTAAATAAATGGGCAAGAAATCTGACTTGGTATATATCCAAAGAAGGTATGGAAATAACCATTTGTGCTTACAAAGTAAAATATACTTGACATCATTAGACATTCGGGAAATGCAAGCCAAAATCCAAAGGTCCCACTTCACATCTGGCAAGATGGCTATAAAAGAAAGATAAATATTGGTGAGAATGTGGAAAAATGGAGCCTTCATCTACTCTGATGGATTGTAAAATAGTACCACCCTTTTAGAATATAGTCTGACATATCTTCAAAAGATTAAATATGAGACTCAGCAATTCTACTCCAATGTATACACCAACATAAAATGAAGTAATTTATTCACATGGAAATTTGACATGAATTTTCATGTCAGGATTATTCATGATAATCGAAACATGAAGAAAAATGACCTTCAAATAATGAATGGGTAAATAAAATGAAGTTTATCCAATTCTAAAACAAAAGTAATAAAAAAGCAAATAAAAAGTACCATAAAACAAAGACCACAGTAGCCCATCATTTTTAAAAATAATTCAAATACAGTCATTTTTTTAAGGAAGTAATAATTTTTATGTAAAATATTTTCTTTAATTTGTTCTGCAAATTCAGATTTTTAGAAACATTTTTGTTTTACAATACTGGGAATTGAACCCAGGGCTTTTTGCCATTGATCAACATCTCCACCTCTTTTTATTTTCAGACAATGTCTCTATAAGTTGACAGGGCTGTCCACCTGGTTATATATGTCCCTTCATTATCTAAAGTATATGTCTGGATATTTCTCATAATATAAAAAAAAATTGAAAGAAATACATGTGCAGGTTTAATAATGAAATTGTCTAGAAAAATTTTTATTGAAAATACAATCTACTCCTCCACTCCGCCCTGCCATTAGTCTTGCTCTCTAAATGCCACTACTTTAATTATCTTGCTTTTAATTTTTCTAATTTTCTAATTTTACAGTCTTCTAATCTTCCTGTCCCAGCCTCACGAGTAGCTGGGATTACTGGCCTATACCACTGCGCCCAGCCAGGAGCATTGATTTTTATGAAATGGCTCTGTACTTGTAAATCCTAGACATCCAGCCTGATCTCTAAAATGTTCTCTAATATTAGTCTGTTCCACTTATGCAAATCAAAGATGCAAAAAGTCTTTTAAAAGCCAGTATTTTGAGATCTCTCTAAAAGAAAAAGAAAACATTTATTTAAAGCACTGTATGCCAGACTTTACTAATAACAGTAGGGTAACAACCAAAGGTAATTAATATAATATTTTATATTAATCATATATAATTCCTTCTAATATAATTTCCTCAAAATCTTTCTTTTGCATGCTATACTTCCTTTTCCCCTTCAGTTTTTTTCCCCCAGAAAATGTAAATATATTAAAAGCAAAATAATGTAAGGTCTGGGGATAGCTAAGTGGTAGAACCCTTGCCTAGCATGTGTGAGGCCCTGGGTTTGATCCTTAGCACTGCAAAAACAAACAAACAATGGTGGGGGGGGATTATATTAAAATGTCTTTTAGCCTATTATATACTTATAAAATTTTAGAAATTTTCCATATTTGCCTTATTTTAAATAAGAATCACAGATAAAGTTTGTTCCACTTGTTCCCTTCCTTTTTTAATCCCTCCTTCCCTTCCTCTGTAGAGCCCCCACTTCTGTTCATCAAGTTTGTACTTAAATATTTCCTACACCCACGCGTGTGCATGTGTGGCCAATGCACAGTGATCCCTTGGGGAATTGTTAATGTTAACATACCATCCACATGATTCATTCCAAACTACTTGTCTCTCAGCTTTGGTTTTGAGCTCTCTCCATGTAGAGTTAGCATAGTTTATCTACCTGGACTGCTCCACACTAGTCTATCACACGAACATGCCACACAGTTCCTTTGTCCAATCTGCTTCTAGTGGATATTTGTTTGAACTCTTTTTCTATTTATTACAAAAATGCTCAGGAAGCCTGGTTATATATGTCCCTTCATTATCTAAGGTATATGTCTGGATACTTCTCATAATTAAAAAATTTTTTTGAAAGAAATACATGTGCATGGTTTAATAATAAAATTGTCTAGAAAATTTTTTATTGAAAATACAATCTACTCCTCCACTCCGCCCTGCCATTAGTCTTGCTCTCTAAATGCCACTACTTTAACTGTCTTGCTTTTAATTTTTCTAACAGGTCATCTTCACATTTCTAGAAAGCATATGCTTCTGTCACAGTGGATTGTGCATGATCTGCTGGTTTCTGGCTGGAAGGAGGACTTTACTCACCATGTACTTTTCCTCCCCTTCTTTCCTCATGCTCCTACCACATATTTTTCTACTACTTTTTTTTCAATTCCTCTGCAACATCAGAAAAATCTACTTAAGCTTTCATTTTTTGTTCTATCAAATAAACTTCCTCAGAGCTCCTCACCTGTTTTTATTAAATGCATTACCCATTTCACATTTCCCTCCATTTCCCCCTCACTTCCTAATCTCTGGAAATTATAACTATACTTAGGTCAGGGTTGATAACGTGTTCTGTGTTATAATCTGTCCATGGGTTCATTTTTTAAAAAGAAAAAAAAACAATAAATTGAATTTATACTGTTATGATTATGTCAGTATTGTTCCTTGCAGAACCATAATGTGATTACATTTCTTGATGGTTTCAATGTCGTAGGAGTATTAGAAAATATATTAGAAACATTCCACTTGATCAAAATTATGCCAAATATTGTTGCTTTCATCTTTTTCATTTTTAGTTTTTCTTCTTTCCCCAGAGTTTCTAATTGTCACTCTGCCTGTCTGATTCTGTCATCTCAAGTTCTGTGTACGTCTGATGTATGAGATATTTCATGCAGTCCCTGTCTTCACTGGAGACCTGTCTGCAGCACACTCTGCCAAGGAGACCCTCCATCCTTCTACTTCAATCAGGATTAGGCCTTTTATAAAATTGCTACAAGTTATTATTCTGAACCTTCCCTTAACTGGTTTCTGCTCATTACTGTTTCCTAGACTTCTTTCCCTGGTTTCACTTGATTAACTAACATGGGTGAAATGTCTTGATCTCTGTGTGTTAGAGTTCCTTTTATTCCATCTTCCTCTACTTATAATTTGGTGGAGTGTCAGTTTCTAGGTTGAAAAGTTTCCAGTAGAACTTTGAAACCATACCTGTCTTTTATGGTCTGGTGTCCCTGGTTGCTTCTGAGAAGTCAGATGTGAAACTTTGCTTCTCATTGGTTACTTGCAGTTTTCTCTTTTTAAAAATATACTTTCTATTTTTGATGTTCTGAAATTTCAGCATTGAGCCTAAAGTGGTTATTTTTTTCATGTTTTTGGTCACCATTTGAAGCAACTTTATCCCCTGTCAACTCTAAGAAATTCCATTATTTCTTTGATTATTTCCTCTCATTCGGTTCTTTCTAGTATCTGTATTTGTTGAAAGTTGGGCACTCTGAATGGATCTTCTATGTATTATTATTATTTTTTAATCTCTAATAGTTTCTGGTTTTCTTTCTTTCTTTTTCATTGTGATATCTTGCCACCCTCTATTATTCCATTGCTGCTGTTGGATTTTTATTTGCCATTATTATTTGCACATTTCCAAGTATGATTTTTCAGAATATTGTAGTCTAGTTTTATGCATACAATATTTTCTAAAATAGTACTAGAAATTCCAGTTAGAGGATTTTTTTTTAATTTATATAAAATTCTATTTCTTGATTCTTCCATTTCTGTTAGGTCATGTTTTTCACTTATTTATACTGACTTTTCTTGTCTCAGACTTCTCCCAAGTATCTGGTAATACTTGGCTTTCCTTTCATATTTGCATGAAGCAGCAGATAGGTGGAATGGTAGCCGTGCATATAGCAGGGATTGCCGTGCCAGCTGTGTAGTCAAAGCTCTGGTCAGAATGAGAAAAGATGTGCTCTGACATGGTGGTATCTCAAGCTCCTGTCTCCTCTCACAGTTCCTCAGCTGCTTTTAAGAACAAACCCTTAATCTGGGTATGGAAGGTTGTTCTTGCACAAAGGTGCTTCCAAGTTCAGCAGAGAGTAGAAGAACCCCATTCCACATGCAGAGCTCCCATCAGGCCTGTTTTTAGCCAGTGGTCTCCTTTCTTCTGTGTGTTTATTGGCCACTTCTTCAGTCATCTGCAATGTAATCAGCCAGGCTGGCTGACTTTCTCTCAGCTGCATTCTACCCTGGATATATCCTGGTCTTCCTTAATTTTTTGTTCATTTTCTGTGGTCCATGCTCTTCTAATTATTTTCCATTTTTAGAAATGAATAAAACTACTCATTCCCTGTTGCCCTCTTAAATCAGAATTTTTCTCTATGCCATTTTTATTTATACTTTAAAAATTAGTCATAAACAAAGATTGAATTCTTGGCATAGGAAAAGGCAGTAACTCAATAACCTTGCTTTTCTTATCATTCAGGCTTTATAGTATGTAAGACTGTAACCTTTCTTGATTTGATTTGTATCCTTTTTTTTTTTTTTTCTTTTGATCCAAATTAGCTGAACTTTCCTTGTTAAATATACCTTAAAACTCTTAATTTACCTTGAATTCATTTCATTCCTTTCCATTTTTAATTTATTTTACAGTATTTTTCTCATCTTCTATTTCATTATTTTTGTTTGGGGCTTGCTTTTTTCTTTCTTTTTATCAGACATGCTTCTTATCTACATTTATGTCAGTCTTTTCAAAAATTTTAAGTAAATTTTACAGCTTGCTTCAAAAAGCTGTAATTTTAACCAAATAATCTTTCAGGCCTCAACGCTTTATCTAAGCAAATGAAGAGAGTCTTGGACCAGATGATTTCTTAGATCTTTTTTCTGCCTTGAGCAAAATAAATTCATGATAATGGTTCTGTGGTTCTATTTTTCACCATTTTGGCCATCTTTCTCTTTGTTTCTTAAATTTTTTTCTTCTCACTGCCTTACTTTCTCTTTTTTGTTGCAGACTCTCCAATATAACTGTTGGTTTTATCCCAACAGTAATATTTTTCCAGTCTTTCTGTTATTTCCTTTTACTTATTCTTTTATTCCTGTGGCAATTAAAACTATCTTTAGATTGCAATATTAAAGTACCATTAAAAAATGAGAGAAGCCACCTTGGTTTAAAAAAAAAAAAAAGGTTCACTTTCCTAAAAAAAAGGATGTGTTGCTATAGCAGAAGAACTTATAGACCAAAACCACAGAAATGTTTTTAAATATTTTATCATTTGCTTTCTGAGTCATTTTTTTTATTTTGCTTTCTTATTTTGTTTTATTTTATCTAAACAGAGAACGGACATTCTTTGAAGTCTAATCATGATCACTACAGATGAACCCAATGTACCAACTTCCCAACAGTCCATAGAGTGTTAGAAGATTTTTACATTTTGAAGAAGGAGAGCAAATCTTTTTTAAAAAAATTTATTAAACTATTGATAATATATGGTGGATTATGTTTCATTTAGAATTTAAAATAGATGTGTAAACTCTGGGTCTCATAGGTTTGAATTCAGTTCAGTTTGAATGTATGATTAATTTTCAGTTCATCTAATTTTAAAAAAATAATATTCATGATTTCTGGCTTTTGATTTATCATTTTCCTGGTCATAAGATTCTAGATGACTGTTGCTGTCATAACATACCTACTAGATATTATGAAATACCTAATAGGTAATCCTGTAATGAGGTGAACTGCAACTTCTGGCACACATCTTTGCAAACACAATGACTCCATCTCACTCAGAATGTAGTGAAAGTATTTAGTTTATATTTTTATGTCGAAAATTTTCTCTAAGATTTCTTACTAGACACTTGAGAAGACTATAAATTGACCCATTTGGGTTTCTTTTTGAATGCCTTGAAGCTTGGATGTGTCCAACTTTGGTCAATCTGGAAATTTCAGTTGTCAATAGTTTTGAAAATGACTTCAGTGCTAACTTTCATTTAAATTCAAAGAAAGCCAGAATTTGTAGTTCATGCTAGTCACAGAACGGTGGAAATTAACAGTTCACATCAGGATAACCCTACATGCTCAGGTCACATTCCCCAGATCAGAAAAGAACAACCTCCAGTCCAGCCGCCTTGTGCAATTCTTGCCTAAATTTAATTTATTTCCACTGAACCATCCAAGACTTCTGGCAGTCAGGGAAGTGTGCAGTGATGCAAGGAAGGGAGTCTCTTTGGAACTTTTACAGATAGTTCATGGTGAGGACATAATTTTTCTTCCTGAAAAAATAAGAGCACTTGCAACTTCTGTGAAATTAGCATGCTAAGTGTGCTTACAAACTAAACCAAAGTGTCTAGTGATGAATCCAAATAATATTCAAATTTAGGATATCTATGGGTAACTTAGATTTTATTCATAGTTTTATATGGATGTCTTTAAAAAACTATAAAAAACAGGAAGAATGTGTCTCTTTTCCTCCCTCCATTGACTATTAACAGATGTCATTGGAATGTGAAATTATGAAAGGATATCCTTTAATCCTTACCAGCTGAATACATATTTAACATATGCCTGGATTGTTCTAGAATCTCAAAAAAATTAGATATATATAGTGAAATAGTTTTCTATTTTTATTTTTATTTTTTGGTACCAGGAATTGAACCCAAGGGTGTTTTACACTGAACCATATCCCTAGGCCCATTTTTTATTTTTTGTTTTGAGACAGGATCTTGCTAAGTTGCTTAGGGCCTCGTTAAGTTGCTGAGTCTGACTTTGAAGTTGAGATCCTCCTGCTTCAGCCTCTCAAGCCACTGGGATTACAGGCATGTGTCACTGTGTCTGGTGCAAAATAGTTTTTTAAACAAACATACTTTTAATGAAGTTTTGATGAAGTTTGTGGCCCATTGATAAAATAATATTTCAATAGTATATGAGTATGTAATTTCTTGGTATTAGTGTCTTCCACCTAAATTCATTTTAAGACACATGCAATTTTTGGTTTCAATAATTAGTTGCCCATTATGAAGTTTTAGGGAACATAAAAGATGTCAGATAGGTCGTTTGAAGAACACGTGTGAATTTTCATTGTATTTGTACATTTTTTTGTTTTTCTTATTCATTGCATCTAATTATTTGGTGATGTTAATTTCTAAATTTGTTTAAATTTTAAGACAATTCAATGCTTATGTATAGTAGAAGCCTTTAAAAAATGACCAAGCAAATATTGGAAGATAATCAGAAACCTATAGATTTATGTTAGAAGGAAAAATAGGCATAGGAATAGTTTTCTCTTCCTATATTAAGCTGGTAGCATAATAGAGTTGTATTGACACAGTATTTGTCCTTATATAGTATTTTAATACATGTGTAAGTCTATTCCATTATTATTATATTTAGTGTTTGGTATATTTATTCCTCTATGGTTTTAATAAGATTTGGAAACTGTACTAAATAAATTTCATTTTTGTATGGAATATACTTGCCATTCAGAACAGCTGAGGATACCATTGTCTCAGGCAACAAAACTGAATTCATTCTATTAGTTTAAAAATTGTAAAAAAAGTTAAATTACATGTATGATATATAAATTGAACACATGTTCTTGTAGCACTAAATTTAGTTGTGTTAGTTTTTTGATATGATGCATCCACAGTATTTTTTATTTTGCATTTATTTTTCATTGTGTTTATATTGTATGAATTGAGCTTTGTGCATACAGATTCTTGATTTGTGGCTGCTTGGCAAGATTTTTGTTGTGATGTAACCATCATTCTTATAAAAAAATATGATGTACATTTGTCTTGTGTATTTGTCTTCATTCCATATGTCTGTGTATATTTTATATGAAATTATGTATAAAGAATAGAAATTCACAAGTCTGTTACCATCTCTCACCATCATTGTTTTTAACAAATAGGCATTATTAGTTTTTATTTTTATATAACCTCAAGCAGCATCTCAATATAAGGCGGATATGTTCTTAAATAGTTGTTCATGATTATTTTACCTCTGTACCATATCTTATGTCATAAAATAGTTCTTTTAAGTATCTTTTTAAATTTTTTTTTAGTTGTAGATGGACAAATACCTTTATTTTGTTTATTTATTTTTATGTGGTACTGAGGATCAAACCCAGGTCACCGCACATGCTATATGCAAGCGCTCCACCACTGAGCCACAACCTCAGCCCCTCTTTTAAGTATCTTTAGACAAGTTGTTTTGTTCATTTTATTTTATTTCAATTCAACCTTTTTTTTCCTTTGGGGGACTTAAATTTCAGTTTGTTGAAATATAATTTACTGTAAAACATAAGGAATTCTTCAGCAGATAGTATTTTATAATTATAGTCATCTCTCTAAATTGAAAGCTAAGCACTTGCAGACACTATTTTATTTAATTCTAGCCATATCACAACAAAGCAAATGTTCAACTCATTTTACAGATGAAGATACTGAAAGGCAAAGAGGATGGTGTGGTTCACAGAATCAAAAGAACTCTAGCCTAAGTTTGTCCTGTCCTGCTTTTAAACACTTAAAGCTGACTCTCCTTTATGATTTTTGATGTATGTTTAGTCTCAAAGTAGTTCATTTGGGGGTTGACTTATGTCCATCATTATTAACCTTATACACTTGGATTTCTGCAAGCATGGCATAATGAAAAAATTTTAATATAATTGAGCATTAAAATGTGTCTTTTCTTTTAGCCTGAAACCTTTGAGCATCTTTTTACCAAGCATGCAGAATCAGTGACATTTGGTCCTCTTCTTTTGGAGCCTGAAACCATTTCAGAAGACATCAGTGTTGATACACCAGGGAAAAATAAAGATGAGATGGTGCCAGCAACTATGGTCTCACTGCTTTTGACAGCTGAAGATCTTGAGCAGGATTCTGCCTGTATTAGTGACCAGGGCAACAGCCCTCACATCTCTGAGGCTGGGAGCATCCCGGCTGTCTGTGAGGACGAAAGCCAGAGACAACCCTCAGTTAAATACGCCACACTGGTCAGTAATTCCAAGTCAAGCGAAACGGATGAAGAGCAGGGGCTCATACATAGTTCAGTCAGCAAGTGCTTCTCTAGCAAACATTCTCCATCGAAACATTCTTTCTCTAATAGCTCCTGGGAGATAGAGACCCAGGCATTTTTCATATTATCAGAGCAGCATCCCAATATGATTTCACCACACCTTTCGTTCTCAGAAGGACTGGATGAACTTTTGGAACTGGAGGGAAATTTCCCTGAAGAAAATAATAGTGAAAAGTCTGTCTATTATTTAGGGGTCACCTCAATCAAAAAAAGAGAAAGTGATGAGTCAGGAGTATTATGCCCATTTCCAGCACACTGTTTAGTCACCGACATCAGAATCCTCCAGGACACTTGTTCCCACTTTGTAGAGAACAACTTCAACTTAGGAACTTCTGGCAAGAAGACTTTTGTATCTTACATGCCCCAGTTTCAAACTTGTTCCACTCAGACACATAAGATTATGGAAAGCAAGATGTGTGACCTAACTGTGTGATTCCATTCAAGAAATCTTCAGAATTGTATTATAGTGGATCACGTGGCCTGTAATATATTGCTTTACTGTTGTAAATGGGGGAACACCAGAGAAAATCATTAGAGTCAAATATGAAAATGATTCCAAAATTAATGATATCTGTTTGTCCTCTCTAATATAGACCCCAAAAAAGGTGAGAAAACCCTCATGAGCCTAGCCATGTAGATAGACACTACAAATAATTCTATTCACAGGCCACCATGGGAAGGTCTCTTGTTGTTAGCTATGAACAAGCCCAGTACGTACCATCTTTTGTGAATATTAGACCTGTGTAGAAAGAAAAACAGTGTTCTGTATCATACCACCATCTGAAGGAAGGCTTTTCATCAATATTTGTGAGATACAGTTGTTGTTTCAAGGGTGTGTTTGCTTTACTTTCAGTTGCTTTTGTTTTGCACTAATTCACATACACACACACACACACACACATTTATACTTAATAGTTATGGATTTTGAAAGTATGTGATGTGTTTGTATTTTGTGCTACCAAAGTATGTGATTTAAAGTAGGCATATCATTAAATGTTGAACATAAGTAGAGACTTTAGCTCTGGTCTGAGGGGTTATACTTGTGAAGACTAACAAATTATCCAAATGTTATGCACTAAATTTAAGTTACACAGCTTAGAATGAAATCATCTGTTAGAATGGCAGGACCCACAGCCAGTGTTTTGATAATTGCACAAGTAGTTTTTAAAACAATGTCTGTTATAACTCCTCTCTTTGAAATATAACTAACTACATGGCCAGTGTCATTCTGCACCACTCTGGAGTCAATGTGTTTCCCCAGCTCCACTCACATGGACACCATTTTTTTCCCTCCCTCAGATTCTCTCTATACACTAGTCACAGTACAAATACTTTACATACTTCAACTCAATTACTGCAATAATTGTATGAGATGTGTTGCTATACTTCTTTTAAAGATTAAGAGATTAAATAATTTGCGCAAGGTCACAGAGTTAATGGGTGATGGAACCAGAATTCAGATTTAAATTATCGATAACTTATCAATGCTAGTAATTGTGTTTTTAAAGAACAACTGAATTGCAATAAAATAGAATCTATTAAGAAGAAATTTCTGGTTGAAAAATTATGTGAGGTTTGCACAGATCTCACCCTTGACTTTAAGATTAATGCAGAAGTTTATTATTTGAGCTTTTGATATGGCAAGAGAATTCAAAGCCCAGCATAGTGGACAACAATCTAGGTTAAGAAACTTGCACATTTAGTTGTTTCATGGCAAGAAATAAGAAGTTCAAGATTATCGATATCATCAAAATAAATATTGTTTAAAATATATCTGTGAGTTGCTAAACATCATCAGAGTTTTCTACTTAAACTTAGGATTCTGTTGATTTTACTGTTACCCTAAGTAAATCCTTACATTCCTTCTATATTTATGATACAAGCAATGTTTCATAAATAATAATAAACATCATAAACAATGACAAAGATCCCAGACTCCTTTTAAAAGATATTGTTTTCACACTTCATAGTAATTTGCCACTCAGAAATCAATAAGTTAGTTTCATGTTATAAATATTATTAAGATGTCTCAGGATCTCATACTCAACAGATGAGCCTCTTATAAAAAAATGATAGAGCACCCATACCAACTCACTTATTCGTGTGAGAAAACCTTAGTTCTATACAAAGACAAATGAAGAAGATAGTTTTTCCACTGATTTTTAAGACACTTTAGAGATTCAGAAATAAGTGATATGCATGGAAATTTTGGTAAAACTGACTTATTTTTAATATATGCTTACAAAATATAGACATTTAATTGAAGGTATGTTATAGAAGAGATGGGAAATTAAATTTTGCCTCACTCTGCATGTAACGGGAGATTAATCATTGAACATATCCGCTGAGACACAACATTCTTCTGTGATCTGTGACCCAAAACAACAGAAAAGAGAAACCAAGAGCTCTAGTCAATTCAAGAGTGCTCCGTGCTGTGTGTACACTGGAGTGAATCAGTCCTAGGATCATTGTAGTGCTGCAGACCCAAGTTAAGGGAATTCAGTGATGTCACATTAACCTGAGGTCATTGATATCATCTTGGTGCAGCTTTGGTCCCCCAAACAAGTAAACAAAAGGTACTTTCTTTCATAGGGCTGAGCTAACATAGTTTGGCTTATTAACTCATATTTTTTGTCAGTGCACTTGAGTTCTAATTTTCACTTTTGAAAGTTTACTTCTCCATTGCTATGTTTTATTGGATTGTAAAAGGTTTCTACTATTAATTAGTGTTTTTTACACAACTTAGGGAAAATTCGGAGTGTTGTATATTTCAGAACATTCAGATACTCTCCTTACTGGAGCCTCTATAAACAGTATTTAAGGGATCAAGGAGCTGAAATATGGGCTTTGGACCTTTTTCCTTCTCTCTCTCTCTCTCTTTCCTTCACTCTCCCTCCCTCCTCCCTGTCTTTATTCAGTGTTGGGAATTAAATCCAGGCCCTTGTACATGCTCAGCTTTCCCCTTAGCCTTGGATGTCCAAACTTGTGATAAATCTGGAATTTTGAATATTTCATTTAGTCACAACAACAAGCTACTAATCAGACCCTTTTCATCTGAAGTTCATGAAAAGAAACTCATAAATTAATCATTTGAGGTATGGTTTCCCGTACAAATAAATTGAAAAGATAAAACATCTATGTCAGGGTCAATGGGATGATACAATTCATAGCTTAAAACCCCTAAGAAGAAATGTAAAAAACTGAGTTACACCTTACTAAGAGTAGGAGCCTCCCTCTGAAGCCTTATATTCCATTTAGAGATGGACTATGTGTTGTCAAGAGGAATAGGACAGATAATCTTTTATTTTTAAAACAAGTCTTCAAGTGATAGAAGGACTTGGATGAAGTTCCCAAACTAGTGGAAAATCCTGAACTCGGAATAAGGATTTATGACCCTCATCGTGACATTCCTCTACTTCCTTTCATTCTTTTCCAACAACCAACTCCCTCTTTCCAAATATCAAACATATGGTCGCATTCCTTCAGTAATATGAGCCCCTTGCCAGTTCAAGAAAGATGAACCCTAGCGGTTTGCACTGTTGGGAGGGGTGCCTACAGGGCTCCTGTGTAGAGTGGACTGTGCTGATGGATTTGGACAAGGGCAACTGCAAAGGTTCATGTCTCCTAGCATATGGATACAAACAAAAGGCATTTTTTTTCCTGAATTACTTCCTGTATTTCTAAAAAAAAAAAAAAAGTTTCTTCTATTTTT